GTCATATCATGTCATACTGCACTGCCATCCTGCCCTATCCTGATCTGTTCAAATTTCCTTCCAAATTCCTCTATTCCAACATCTACTTCAATGGCTCCTTCATGTCCTTGTGTTCCTGGCATCACAACTGTTGCCAGTTGTGAGATTTTCTTCTCCATTCTGCCTCTTTCTTCTTGAGTTATCAAAAGCTGATGATTCTCAAAATCTGCCCTGTTTCTGTCAATTCTGCTCTACTCAGTCTAGTATTAGTCAGTACATGTCCACTTGAATATCATCATATTATCATGTTATTTCTCCATGATGAAAGCCCTTAAACTTTCTGGTCTTTTTCTTTTTTTTTTGCTGTGAACTCAACCCTTCTTTCAAGTGTCCTTTGAGAGTTCTCTGTCATTGTCTCCCCATATCCAGCCTGGTTTACTAGGTACCCCTGCACAGCTTAAATTTCTATCTTTTGCTGCTGTTTAAGCCTTGGTCCATGATCTATTTCTTTCTTTTACTATGAAAGCTGTCTTTTCTTCCAGTCTCCCTCCCTCATCCTAGCTCTTTTCACAGCATTCTTTCTCTCCCAAAGCTCAAATTGCCTCCTGTAGCTCTTTGAAGCCTCCATGGTTATCTGGTCTAATAAAATGTCCTAGTCAAGACCTTTGTACTCATCTAGAAGTCACTGCCTCATCTGACATCTATTGAAGTATTTTTCCTGCCTTTTCACTCTTTTTTTCTCCATCTAAAGGTATTGCTTGAATCAAAATACGCTTGCTGTATCTTCCTGTCCAGATTCTCATCCCCTGATGCCCTCCGGTGCTTTGTCTCTTATTTCCTCTGTGTTTCTCTCTTACAGACTGTGTTAGTGTTAAGTAGTCATCCTGTCATCACCTTTCTCCTCTTCCTCCTTTAAAAATCCCTTCTTCATCTTTACAGTTTCTTTTGTCCTGTAGACTGTCTTTTCTATTATCTTCTTTACAGACTTGCGGATCTCTTGGGCTGGGGTTTCTTTAGCACATAATGTTATTTTTCCTTTGTTCTTAAATTACTTTCACTAATCTGCATGCAGGGTTCTATGTAACAATAACTCTGCCTCAGCAAATTCCACTCCTGTCAGTCTGGGGTGGCAGAGGGCTCTGCATCACCATCTGCTATAATGTCTGTGTATGCAGGATTGAAAAAATAGATGTGGTGTTTCACTCCAGAGGAGGCTGCAGTCTGCTGGTGGGCTGTAAAGCTTGTGTACAGTGAAGTCATGAGGTGGTCTAGATCTTTCAGGATGAACCTGCTACAGAACAAACAAAAAAAAGCTCTAGCATAAACAGAAGCCTCAGAAGTTGGTATGATGTCTGATAATTGTGTGGGCAGGGCATAGGGAACATTCAGATTGTCACTGCTGATAAATAGCACTTGGATTGTTTCAGGTAATAAATCTCCTGGGACCAGACCATGGGAGAAGTGTGAGTCTTCAGTCATCCTTACCCCCGTCCCCACCAGCCTCTCAGAGCTTTCACTATCAAGGCATTAGGATGGGAAGGCTATGAATTGTATTTCTGCATCCTGAAAAGCATTCAGGGGAAATAAATAAATGCAGAGAAAGGGAGACCTGAGAGAAAACTGAGAAGAGGAGGGAGAAAAATAGAAGCCTGATTGGACAAGAGATCCATCTTGGCTGACAGTTCTTCCAGCTTCTATTATTTTCTTTATTGTCATTTAATACCCTAATTTGGACTGTAGCTGTATTTTCATCACAAACATGATTTCTTGAAATACACTTTGGAGTCCCACTAGGCCTGTAATGTGCAAAGGAAAAAAAAAGGTGTATGAGCAGGTCATGTAACTTTCCTCTTGCATGCCATGGGGAGGTCTAGAAACTTTTGTGAGCCTTTTCAAGAGGCTTAGGTGCACCTGCGGGGTCAATCCATGTATAGGTCATCTGTGTTTGTAGCTAGTGCAAGATGGTCATGACACCTTCCTCTTATTTTTCATCTTCTTCCAGCTCTGTGTTAATCTCCTGAATCTGCTGGTAATCTCTGAAGCAAGAGCAGTGCTCCATTGTGAGTCCTGGTGGAAGTGCAGAGCAAGGCCTGGGAAATAGAAAGCAAGACAGAGAGACAATAAAGAAAATATAGAAAGAAGAGTTGTGGCAGGAGATTACATGAAGAGTGATAGGGGGGATTTGACATCAGTAGCTGGGCAGCAGCAGTGCAGAAAGGCAGATTTTTTTCAGAGTGTTTTCTGTATTCTTTGTTTATGTTTATATCTGCAGATCTGAAAACATGGAAAAGATGATGAGTAAAGCCAGAACTATAATTTTCTTTAGGTCAGCTGTGCCAGATGGAAAAAGTGGACAAGCTGATGGGTCTACAAGTTCTTGTGAGAGTGAAATAGAAGCAAATTGAAATCTCAGAGCAAATACAAGTTGATAGTAGCTGCTTTGGATTTAACTAAGGTAGTGTCAGTGAGGCTGGAGGCTGTGACAGAGATTATTGGTATCTTGTGAAATAGCAAGAATTGTTAATAATTTCCAGAGAGCTGACAAAGCACTCTCACCTGCAAGGAGAAATAGGCTGACTTTTAAGCTCAGTAGCATGGTAAAATTAGTGTTCAGGACACAGGAAATATTGTGACATAAATCCAGTATCACTACAGATTGCATGTATTTTGTCATGCACTGAAATTATGAATTTCAGTTCTCAGTTGTTTCCTTGTTAGACAGTATCTGGGTACAGAGACTAGAGGCAGAGATGCTGTTTGATGAGAAGTGGGAATTAGTTGAGCATGAGGTCCTTAGCTACAGGTGAGGTGGGTCTTCCCTAGTACATAGGTGCCACCATGCACACAGTGATTGCTCAGGATCAGCTGTGTAGTTGCAGCACTGCCATGCACTGGCTGAGGTGTGTTACACTGTGGGAAGTACGAGTGAGGGCTCAGGACGTTTGTAGGGTGTCTTCCTTGTGAGGCTGACAGAGGTTTCTTCTTCAAGTAACATCCGGAGTCACTTGGTTGGCCTTGGGGTCCTTCATGCTTTTATTGATGAGGTGAAAGAGGCCAGGGCCAGTTTGGAAGCTGAGAGTCTTGGACAGTTCTTGGAAAAAGCCTTTCAGGGTAGAATTTGTCCTATTTTGGGCTATTATTATATCGTTGTTTCCAATGGAAATTCCACAGCAGTATAATGCAAGAAAACAGTAGAGTTTGATTAGCTGGTAGCAGAGGATTCATTTTTATACTGCAGCAATTTCTAATGTGCCATTCTCGTGCTTCTTGAAAAACAAGAGCTAGAAGAGTGCGCTTTTGGGTAAAGGTTCTCATTAGTTTTCTTCAGTGGCTCTGATGAGTGTTCTCCAGTACATATAATAGTGGATGAAGATCTGGTGATGTATTACAGCTTTGATGTTTGCTGGGCTCTATTGTGTTCAGTTTTTAGTCTTCCTATACATGATGTACCTTATATTTTAGACAGTTTTTTATATTTTATACACTATATAGTATCTATGCATAATTTTTTATATAAGCCATAATGACAATGGCCTTCCAAAAGTATCTCAATAGATTGGGAGCAATTAATGCCCTTTTGATGGTAACTTGTGAGGGTAACCAAATGTTTTTCTCTGATTTCCTAGACACAGTCACTTAGAAACTCTTCTTTAAGGTGATTCATTTCAAATTTTGTCCTGCCTATGGGGCACAGTCTTCCTCCAGAAAATAGTGCTTGTTGACAGTAAAGTGAGTGCTGCTGAGAATGAAACAGGAGAGCCTGTAAATTTTGGGGCAGCACTAATATTGCTTTTGTAAATATTCAGTGCTTGCCTGGCCTGTTACCAGTTGTAGGTTGTACACACTAACCTTATCCATGTGGATATTACTGTTAATGGATATCCATATCTTAGCAGGAACATGGAGAAGGTGGTTTGTGCAAGAAATTAAGTGTGTCTTCCACATGGAGACTTTTTTCTACCTTACTCTTGAGGACCATGCAGACTGAAAAAAAAAAAACCAAAAGAAGAAATGTTTTACAGGAGTCTGCAAAATGAAATAATGAAATCACTGTTCTGGGCCCAAAAAAGGGTGTTTTGCCCTTCTCTCTACCCCATCCTGCCTGCAAATCTCTTAGTATGAGTAGCTTGTCATGTGAGGTCTTTTTTTCTTGTGTACAGTTTCTGAGACCTTGAACTCTCTGCTCCTCCCTAATTAATAGCCCTCAGAAGAAATATGGTTCCAGGCAGCACACTGACAGTACAGGGAGATGTCTCTAGGCCAAGTTGTTTTCACATGCTTCTCATTCCTGTTGCTGGCTGGTAGCTCACTGGTGTTGGCTGAGCTTGTTGCTTCTCTCCCTGGCTGAGAAACAAGTGGCAGAGTGGAGACGAGAAGCTGTTGAATGCTCTAGTCTGTGGAAAAGTGAGCATCAAGAAGAATTAAATACACCTATATTTGGGTACACACAGACCAGTTTGGTGACATGCTTTGAAGTGCAAAGTATTCCCCATAAGAACACGTGGGAAGGCTGAGATTAGACTGTAATGTTCAGCAGTTTACAGGGATGCCAGACTTTTCCATTAGGGCTTGCTGCTGTGAACTGTGTGCCTAGAAAAATTGTCTTGGGACACTGAGTGAACACCCATCTTGTTCCATCTCACCATAGCTGCTGGCTTCTTTATGATTGTTGCTCAGTCTTTAGGGCAGCTGGTATGTGGGGAGAAAATAAGGAAGGCCACTGACCTTTGTTCTCGTTGCAGAGAGTGTGTGGGATGGGGAGCTGTGAAAGAAGACATATCCTGGGTAATAATTTCTGCTTCCTCCTGTCTGCTTTCTGTCTCTGTGCTTGTAGCTCTGTCTGTCACACCACCACCTTCCCCTTGCCCCCTCCCTCTCCTTCAGGAGTTCCCCTCTTACTCACACCTGATATTCAATCCCAGCAGAGTTATTGCCTTTTGCTGAGATCAGACACGGCACTAGGGAATCATGTGGCAGAGGAAGGCTGCTATAAATATAGTTGAACCCTTTGGGCAGGAAGAGAAGAAAGTGAGAGAGGCACAAGGAGGAGGAGGGGCAGAGAGAAAGAGAGTGCAGGAACAGGACAAGTTAGAGTGGTCTGAGGAGAGAGAGAAAGGAAGGACAAGCAGAGAATGCAGAGGCCATGTTCTCTGCCAGAACACGAGGTGCTTCTAGGTGAGGCCCAGAGCAGCAAGTCAGTTACAGAGAAGCGTGAGGAGCAGTGGAGGAATGGAGAGCTCAGAGAGCAAGACGCCGGTGGCCAGCTGGAAGCCAGCTTTGTGGGAGGCCACACCACAGTACAACTATGTCTGCTTTGAGAAATGCACCCATTACGGGATACCCGTGGAGGCCGGACACCAGGCCAGGTCCACAGGGGACAACCTGCACTCCCCAGAGAACTCGCTCAGCTACCCACAGGTAGGGCTGGACAACGGCATGTTTGTGGCAGCACAGGTCTCCCTGGGATCACACAGGTTCTGGGGCTCTCAGAACACACATCCCTGTCCATCCCCAGTCCCACCAAATCTCCCCTTCGCTTGCTGATTCCGGGTCAGGCTTTGGCATTCATGGCTGTACTTGCACCAAGGATCCTTCCAGTAATTCAAGTCAGAGGTTATTGTCACCTGCCATGGATGCAATGAGACTTGGAATTGGCAAGCTGGGATGGGGAAAATTAACCAGAGCATTAATGTGTTTGTAACAGCAAAGAGAAGCTGCAGCTTTCTTCAGCTGTGTAGTGATATTGAGTAAAGCACAGGAGTGAGTGAAACCAAAGAGAGCAGTGATGTATGTATATATGTATATGGGTATCTGTACAGATGTGTAGGTGAAGTAAAGCTCTCTGGTGACTTTTCTCTGACTTTAAAGCCCTTCATAGATCTATGGTCATAGATCTGTACATGTATTTTGGTATTTTTGATAACTCTTAGTGTAATTGTAAGCAAGGGATTTTCTAACCCTTAAGCTTGACATGACTCTTGTTCTGGTTTGTACAAGCACTGGTTCAGAAAAATGTCTGGGACATAGAAGTACTCTGCTTATGGCTTTTTGTTCATTATGTTCTGTACCTCGCCTCCCTCTTCTTTTGGGACAGCCTCCTGCAAAGGGGAGGGTTTACAACAGAGTCCTGTTGTCTTATTTCCTACCACTCTGTTCTGATTAAGCTGATCTAAAACAGTTTGGCGCAAGGAAGGATCCAGTCAAATTATGAGGAAGAGAGGTTGTGAATGTGAAATCCATAAAGTGGATGTTTCTCCTTAAATGAATACAAATCCTCTTACATGGATAGCGAATGATTGAGGAATGAAGGAGATTGCATTAATTGTCTCCTAAACACTTATGTGATTTACTGATATGGAAACAGCCATATTTGCCACCAAGAAAATCTCTTCCAGTAGATCAGCATCCCAGTGAGGATAGTTATGTGTCACACTGCCAAAGATCAGAGAATCAGCTCCATGGCCATATTCAAGAATTTCTCTTCTGAAACTGCCTATAACATCTCAGCGCTTGCATGTCTCTTTCACTAAAGTCTTCCAAAACCACCCACTGGCTTATTTGAAGCAGCAGCCCAGATGGACAGAGGTGTGACTGGAGCATTTTAGGCTTTATTAGCACCAACACAAGACAGAGCTTTGGCTGCAGCAGCCACGCTAAGAGGGTGAGCACAGGGCGTGGGATGGGGTGGAGAGGTGTGTGTGCCCACCTGAGGCTGAGCTCCACTGGGGTCACACCTGCCCCATGGGGCGAAAATGGGGCTGGAGAGCTGAGGTGGGTGAAGGAAACACACCTTTGTGTGTGTGCCATGAACTAGCAGTGAGCTGGGGTGTGGGGAGCTGCCAGATGCAAACCCTTTCTCCAGCACAGCACATCCATGCACAGAAACATCCCAGCTCACCCAGATCCAGCAGATATGCCAGTGCCAGACACCTTAAACCACTCTCCAGTAGGCACAGATGACACAGTGAGGCAAGACCACCAGCTCTGTGCTCTTGCTCCCTGAAACCAGAGTGTCTCTGTGCTCAGTTCCAGAGGCATGATGGCCAGTGCATGCAGATAGATGATCTCACGTACAAACAAGAAGGCCATCAAACCTATTCCCATGCATATCTTCAGGCAGAAACATCCCCAAGCAAGCATGCATTTGTGAAGGCAATTTGCAATCTAAAAACCAGAGTTGTATTTATAGTTTACCGAAAAATATGTCCTAGAAATATTTTATATAAGCAGTCATGTACACGTGTGCATGTCAATTTATCATGGAACTTTGCATGCAAGCATATTCTGGCTAGGCCAGGTTTGCTGTGGCTATTTTGATGGTCATTTGTGCACATGCAAATAAATTATAAACATGCATGGGTACTTTGTACAAACATGCACACTTATTATCATGTAATCAGCATGAAAAACAACCCCTTGCACATGTTTTCATACATTTTCACACAGAGTAATCATTAAGATTTCTTTCCCCACTGTCAGCTGAAAAAACATTTTACAGAGATTTTAATTTTGCTGAGCTCTTTTTTTCTGCTAGCTGTTGTCTTCTGTTGTACCAAATGTGATTTGGTTTGGTTTACACAGGCCCCAGAATAGTGAAATCTTGGTCCTTGGCCTTGGACCTTCAGATAATTAATAGTCAAAAACATATAGTGGTTAGTAGATAATAACTTAATAGTGGGATAATAATAATAATAATAATAATAATAATAATAATAATAATAATAATAATGTATTTTTGACAATTAATATAACAGATAGTCGATATGTAATAGATTATGTAATATGCCTTGATAAAAATATACATTATCCTACACAGTAGGATTTTGTATTGGTTTATTTCTGCATGAAAAAGCAGTTGCAGCTGGTGAAGTATTTAAAAACTGTGTTATTTGTGACTATAGAAAGGGTGTTCCTAGCAGGGAGCTCACTCAGCAATACACAGATGGGGGTAGAGGGAGGGATGTGCAGTAAGAAATCAGGCATTGCAGTAATACAGAATAACAGACTCTCAGAGAGAAGGTGGTGGGAGGGCCTCTGGAGCCCTCCAGCCCAAGCCCCAACTCACAGCAGGGCTGTCTCCAAAGGTAGTTCCCATTGTCCAGAGCCTTTTCCAGGCATCTGAACATCTGCAACACTGAAGATTCCCCAGCCCCACTGGGCACCTGTTCCTGTGCTGAACTACCCTCAGCTGGGGCTGGATGGGGACATGTGTTCCTTTGCAGAGGCTTTCCTTTCTTGCAAGCTGTGCTTTTTCCCTTTTGCCCATCTCTGTGCCCCTCTGAGATATCTTGCTCTGATGTTTCCCTCCAGCCCCTCTCTCCCTTTAGGTAGCGGCACTGCTGTTAGATTTCCCCTTTGCCACCCTTTCTTCAGGAACAACTATTATTTTGTTGCTGTCCCCTGTCCCTTACATATGCCTCATCAGCTCTATGTCTAAGCAGTTGACTGAGATGTTTTACATTTAAATTTATATATGTGGTGCATTTGGGGAGGTTTCACCTTTGAGGTCAGACATGGCTTCTTCTTGGTGATGCATCAGGAAAAAAATCACCTAAGGAAGATAATTTTAGGAATAGCAGGATGGCTACAAGGAAGAAGTGAGAGGGAAAGGAAGTACAGGCTAAGGCTGCCTCAGTGGCTGGGAGCAGCAGATCATAGACAGGATGAACTGGCAGAGCTGGGGAAAGGGATTTCAGGACTGGAGTATTCTGTGGGGAATGCATTGTTCAGTGTGAATGGCATGGGAAATAGCTTGGGCTTTGGACTGTGGGAGGAGGGCAGTTTCATACAGGTGCTGACTCCTCAGAAAATAGCTCCCAGAAAAGTCTTGAGATGGTGATGTATTTTTTTCCCCTGACATTCTGTGCAGCTTTTCCTCTGTTACTCAAACAATGAAATTTCCCCAATTTTCAGAAAGACAAAAGATCTTTTGCATAGACAAATGCTTCATCTCTGAAAACAAATTTGCTTTGCTGTGCTTTCTCCCTGGATGGTTTAGTTGTGATTTGTTTATTGGAATTGTTTTGTTTGTTTGGGTTTTTTTTTGGTGGGGGATGTATGTTCCTCCTATCTATCCTGAGTGGTGTTTACACCTTCAGCTGCTTTCACACCATTTTGGTGGTCTCCCTCGGCATTTAGCCAAGTAGGCATGATAGTACCTTTTTTGGTTCAACCCTTAGGTGGTAATTGAGAACTTATAAAATTGTCTTCATTTTTTCTCGTGCTCAGAAACCCTGTGTTCCTTGTGTTAGAGAGGAAGCAACAGAAAAAGGAACAGTCAGAGTCGTACTGTGTCATATTTTTAGTTTTACATCTTCTAGTGGAGTGGATGTTTCTTGCCTAACCCAATTTTGCTGTAAGGTCATCCTCTGATTTCTGGATTCTTTCTCTGTTCCACAATCTCCTACCATTTTAGATACTTCCAGAATCCTGGAGAAGCAAAGCACATGTGTGAAACATTCTTTAAATGCGTTGAGACTACCTGGTTTGCCAGGACAGCAACTTCTTTTTTATGTCTGTGGACTAACTCCTTTTTTTCCCATATCGCAAATGTACCATTTGAAAGCCAGGCAGAAGCAGTGAACTCAGATACCATATGAGGACTTTCAGCATTCATACTATTTTACTGTCATGCTGTTCCATCTGGCAGATGGAAGATTCTAATTTGAATCTCATACTTGACATGGGTTTAAGTTGTATTTGACATAAACCCATCTCTCATGACCATTTAACAGCAATGAAACACTGGCTGAGAGGTGATGTGAAGATGCATTTGTCTAAAATCTGACAGTATTTGGCATTTCTGTCTAAAAAACACAGTAAAAAAAAAAAGAGCAGTTTGCTAGGTAGAATTGCATTCTGTAGATGAAATACTTCAGCCTGATGTTTCACTGTCCTGTCTGTTTTAAGGGGGCCAGAGCATGGCCATTATTCCCTGCAAAGACTCTGCTTAATTTACGTAGAATGTGTTGGTCATCATGTGGTCAATAATTCGATTAAATTTGTGTAGCTTCCAATACAGTGATTAATAGAAGAATACTTTCAGCTGTTCAGACAGGACCAATCTGTTTAAGAGGCAGCAGGTGAGCCATCTCTAGAACAGGATGATTTAAAAAAGCATAGATAGGGGTTCTGTGAAGAAAAAAAATCCATTAGGATTTCCGAAGGGAGCTATGGCACATGGTTCAAATGTCTCTTGAGGAATTTGTACAAATAAATAAAATCTTAGGGCCTTCAGTCACATTTGTTATGTTGAAACACTAACTGGTAGAGCACAGAAGCAGGTGCTCAGAGAAGCTGGGTAATTTCTACTCCTGTAGATGTTTAGGAGTTGCCTGGATAAGGTCTTGAGCAGCCCAGTCTGGCTTACCTGGCTTTGGAGTTTGCAGGCTGTGAGCAGAGGCTTGGACTAGAAACCTCCAGAGGTACCTTCCAGTGTAAATCCTTCTGTGAGTCTCTGTATCTATTTCATCTCAAGGGAACAGGAACATCTCTTTTGTTACCTTGAAAGGGGGAGGCAGGAAATGTCAAATAGAAAATTCTCCTTAGTGTGTGGTAGTGCTTTATCTCTATCATATGTCCTGTCATTCTCCAGCTCAAGTGTCTGATTTTGCTGATCAGAACATGGCTCATCCTCCTGCTGCCAATCAGAAAATCTCAGAGAAGCAGATGTTGCGCTGGGGAGGGAGCACAGGTCACCTTGTCACAGGTGGGGAGTACACCACGTGGTTACCTGGTCTGAAGTAAAGCTAAACCTGGTTCACTGAAGGACATGCAAGGAGAAGAGGCTTATTCTCTGCTTCTCAAATGCACACCTTCCCCAGTTATACTCTGAAACAGTGAGGTGGGATAGCTGCTCTTCAGGGGATGTGGTAAACAAGCACGGGCACAGCCAGGGTTCTTCAAGCTCCCTTAAGATTTTGACGAGACAGCACAACTGCCCAGTTTACTGCAGACCCGTATAAGAAATGTCCTTGGTAAGCATGTGCAGCTGATTATGAACTGCATAAAACCCACTGCTTTTCAAGTTTAGTATCTGAAGAAACAGACTGGCTTAAGCAATTAGGAATTTCAGAGGAATTGGAGATACAGGAGGACTTAAAATGCTGATTTGGGTAAATAATGGTTGGAGGTGTGCAGCAGCCTGGGATATTTTTGAGATGATGCTGCTTCTTTTCCTCCATGAGCACCACCAGTGGCTGTGTGCCCTGTTAAGCATTCCTTGGCAGCAGGAAGAACAGATGCAGGACATTCCTGCAGCCTGTTTGAGAATGTAAGGCCTCTCAAAACCTTCAGAGATGTTTTACAGTGCTGCTGAAATCTATGAGACAGCCCTGAGGATGGCAGCCTCATGTGAACTACTTTGACCTTCTTTTGTACCTCCAGAAAGCTGTCTCTTAATGCTCAAATACTGTCTCAATGTTCAATCTCTCAGCCATTTTTTTCCCCCAGGACATTAGAAAATAATGAATATTCTGTGATCATATCTTGTACTCCCAAAAAGGGGGTGAAAATGTTTTGGAGAGATTGGAAAGAAGAAACTAGAAAGAAAAATAATTAAAAATAAATGAGCTGCATCTGTCTGAGAGTTTCTGTGTCTCAGTCTCCCTGCTTGGTACATTTGGGTCTGTACCTCAGACTGTTGGTAGATCTGCCTTGTCATCCTTAATGCTATTTGTGAAAGAGCATTTGCCTTCCCTTTTCACTGTGATACCTCTTGTTTTCTGCTCCTCTAGCTTTATGGCCGATACACAGACCGCATAACAGATAACATTTCAGACAAGGAAGCAGCAAAACTGCTGAAGAAACAGGCCCAAAGGAACAATGGAAGACCCCTGAAACGTGACAGTCAAGTACAGATCAAAGAAGAGCACTATTCCAAATGTCAAGGTAGGGACAATTCATGTTTCATTTCCTATTACCAGATATTAGGTAGGCCAGCAAGAGAGATGGGATTTAAGCAATTATGCCTGGGGAGAAGCAAAGAGGGAAGGAAAAGGAATCAAATCTCATTGGGTTGAAAACCCTTTTCTATATGATCTTTCTTCCTAGAAAAGATATATTTGGAATTAAAAAAAGAAAGAAAAAAAAAGCAATCCCAAGTAAATATTTTTTTCCGTAACAGAGCTCTGTAATGGGATGAAAAGGACTTCCTTGTATCAGACTTTTGTTGTTAGTGTACAAGTTGTTAAATTCTACCCTGTGTGTCCTGTACATACACCTCCCCCGCCCTTTTTTAGTGTTTTTTAAACTACATGACATGTTTCAGAACTGTGTAAGAGAGGGATGGTGTGGGAATCCATAGGATTAGAGGAAGCCTCCAAATAAATCCTTGTTTTAGTCAGTTCTCAGCACAGGAGAGACAGACACAGCTTCATCTATGTTCACTCCATTTTTCTGGTTCATTCTTCCCTCCGCAGACTGTGCTAAACGCATCCAGAATTATGTTACCAAGAAGCTTGGAGAGGACTGGATTTTTTTGGTTCTGTTGGGTCTGGTCATGGCGTTGGTGAGCTGGGGAGTGGATTATGCCAGTGCAAAGACCGTACAGGGTGGGTCCCATTAAGGTGTTGTAAAAGCAGCCAGTAAATGATAGGAATGTGCTACAAAGCACAGTGACCAGTGTTGCTCCTCCTTTAACATCGTTGTCCCATCCTCAACCCTCATTGATTGGGAAGTTTGAAGCTCTGGCAATGTAGTAAAGGTTGGCTAGGGAGAGGTTCTTTAAAGGGGTGGCAGAGGAAATTTTGGAAGTAAGTGGGCAGAAGCAAGGGATATGTGCATGATGAGTCAAAGACAAACAATAATTTTGAATCCTTTTTCTTTCTGCTCTCTTAAATATGCAGGAGCACAGTGAAGTGTTACTGTGGCCTTTCCTGTTATACTGCTTTTACTGCTTTCCTTTCTCCCCAAGAATATTAAGAACATGGGTGATTGGGGGGAAAGGGGCTTTTAGATGCCCTCTTGGCACTGTTTCTGCTTTTTACCTTGATTTTGTTCTTTCCAGTTTTTACTTATACAGTGCCCCAATGGTGGGGTTTGGTTTTTTTGGGGGGATTTTTTTTTTTGTTTGTTTGGTTTTTTTTGTTGTTGTTTTTTCCAATCTGGGCGTATAGTGCCCTCTCCTTTTGCCCTTTTCACAAAGATCTCCTATTCCCTGTCTTATATCCCTTCCCTGCATTTTTCCTGCGGTCTGTGTCCCTTTGCCAGCTACAGGAATGACAAGATCTTTCAGTCCCCATCTCAGTGTGCACATACACACACCCCTTCCCTCTGCCACATCCTGTTAACTGTACTGTTCCTTTGTCCTTACTTCATGTCCCAGTCCTGACTGGCACACACATACACCAACCTTTTTGTCTTGGCTGCTGCAATTCCTCAAAGCTCCCAACATTCCTTCAGCCCAGTGTTCCTCCCTCCAGAGCTTCCCCATCTACCAGGTGACTGGTATAATCTAGTCTGAGGGTTCCTGTCCTTTATACTCTCTGCAGCTGAGTCCTTTGGGGTTCTTTTTCCTTTTCCCCTGCCAAGTCTCAGCCTCTACTGGGGCTGTGTGGGGAGCCAGCTCAGGCAGGGAGATGCAGTTGCAGAGGAGCTGCAGTTCAATTTGGACTCTCAGCAGCTCATGCTGTTGTACCTGGCTGAGTACTGCTGTTCTAATAGCTGCTGACACAGCTTCCATTCTGCTGCTCTAGAACGGAAATCACAATCAGAGCTTTTAAACTAGTTTTTTATGAAGAAATTATTGGTGGACCACTTTATTGTCCTTCAAAAACCACACAAGACCCTCAGACTGCCAAATGAAGACACTGCACAGTGATTTGTCCTTACAGCTGCATGTAACACGCCTCTTTTTATGCCACACATGTGCACAGGTATTAATAGTGTCTTCTAGCCATCCTGAAGAATGCCTGCTTTATTGTGGAACTCACACTCAAAACAAGGCCTGTCTTAGAACAGGAGCACGAGGGTACCATTTCTGTAGGAGATTTAGCATGGGCACATTTAGCACATGTGTGATTCCCTGATGTCTGCCAGCCTGTGTGAAGCAGCTGTGGTCACTGATGGGCTCTCTGTTTGTGTGTTGCAGCCTACAAGTGGATATATGGAGCGCTGCACCCCAATGTCCCTCTGCAGTACGCCGTGTGGGTGGCAGTCCCACTCGGCCTCATCCTCTTTGCGGCCAGTTTCTGCCACTTCGTGTCTCCACAGGCTGTTGGTGAGGGCAGAAGGCAGGGCAAGATCTGTTTCTGTCTGTCTCATTTTTCTTGCTCCGTTTGCCCATGGGTTTTTTTCATCCCCGGCTCTGCTGTTGATTTCAGGGTCTGGGATCCCAGAGCTCAAGACCATTATGAGGGGAGTGGTCCTCAAGGAGTATCTCACTCTCAAAGCTTTTGTGGCCAAAGTTGTGGCCCTCACAGCTGGGCTTGGAAGTGGCATGCCTGTGGGGAAAGAGGTAAATATTGCTGAGTCTGTGTGCAGTAGTGACCATGGTCTGGAAGGTGGGAGTTGTCTGTGAAAGAGGAATCTATAAATGTTTTCTTACTTTTACCACCACTCCTGTTCTCAAAGCTCTGCTCTTTCCAGCAAGACCTATCTTTCACTGGCCATTTTCCTTCCACTTTGAAAGATACGATACAGGAAATATCGAAGAACTCAAGTCAGGTAGTCTTTGAGAGGGAAAAAAATTAAATGGAAATAGGAGAACTTAGGAAGGTTGGAGGATCTAAAGCACAAATCTTATGAGGAGTGGCTGAGGGAAATGAGGTTGTTTAATCTGGAGGAAAGGAGCCTCTGGGGAGACCTCCTTAATCTCTATAACTTCCTGACAGGAGGTTGTAGCCCGGTGGGAACCAGTCAGTTCTCCCAGGTAACCAATGACAAGAGGAAATGACTTCAAGTTGCACCATGCAAGGTTTAGATTGGATATTAGGAAAATTTTCTTCAATTAGATGGTGGTCAGGCATTGAAAAGGCAAGTGGTGGAATCAATATCCCTGGAAGGGTTCAAAAGGTGTGTGGCTGTGGCACCTGGGGACATGGTTTAGTGGTGAACACAGTGATGCTGCATTAAAAGTTTGATTCAATGATCTCAGAAGTAATTTCCAACCTTAATGGTTCTATTACTGGCTGAGATGCAGAAAAGTTATGAGGCCTGCAGTAGTTAAAAGATTGTCAGTAACCAGAGGGCAACCCTCTCTGATTTTCTCCTCTTCTCTTGCAGGGTCCTTTTGTGCATATTGCCAGTATCTGTGCTGTGGTACTCAGCAAGTTCATGTCGATCTTCTGTGGGGTGTATGAGGTAAGGAACATATCTCTGCACACAGTTCTTCCACAGGCTGAGCTCCTGAGACACTCAGGCTAGTATGGGTAGGCCATGGAACACAGAGGATGTTTAACACATATATTGATGTTTACTGTACTGCTGTAGAGCAGTAAAACATGGGCTGAGCAAAAGTAGTGCAAGGCCAGGCATACAGTCCAAATAACTGTGCAGGACCACCAATGTTACTCAGAAATCACACAGAGACTGGTTAGGAGTGTTTGACACTAGATTTCAATCTTGTGATTGATGCCTTTGCACTGTGATCATTGTATAAAAAATGTAGCTGCAGAAATAATCAATTTGTCTTTAAGCCAAATTTATACAGCATTGCTAATTATAGAAACTGACACCATCTCTGTGCTTTTGCTATCGCCGAACAGCCTCTGCAGGCTGATCACCATATTGACTGGTTGTATAAAAAAATCTATTAACTGCACATACAGATAAATGTAGGACCTCCTTTATGTGCAGGCTCTTAGCAGAAAGTGACTATGTAATACAGCTGGAGGTTCTGTTCTCCTTGAGTAGATCCTGTCTATGCACAAGGAGCAGATGTCAGTACTAAAGACTGCACTGAAGTGTGTAGAGCCTGCTATTTGTAATAGCAATGGCTGACCGTGCTGCTGGCTGTTGCTTCTTTTCATTGTTCTGGGTCCTAACCCGGTGGCTTTGCTCCCTCTAACCCCAGCATGCCCATCTCTGGCTGCACTCCCTGTTCCAGAATGTGCATAGGCAGTTCGACCTCCTGGTGCCGGCTTGCGCAGTTGGAGTTGGATGTTGCTTCGAGGCTCCTCTTGGAGGCAAGTGTCTTTCTGTATGTGACATTTAATGTGCAGTTCCTTCGACCTCTTGCTGTGAGACTTCCTGCTTTCACGAAAGGTTCTCCACAGATACCTCTCCACTTCAGCAACACAAGTTCTTTCTGTTCACGTGTAACTGGTGGCAGCGAAAGGAAGGGAAGGTTACAGGAAAAGGGACTCCTATTTAAGTGCTGATTTCTAATGATGCAGCTTGTTCAGTCTCTGCCTGCCATGAACACTGTTCCACCTGAATAGTACCAAGGGCTATCCAGAGAGTCAATAAAGATCAAGTAGAGAACAGAAGTAAAAAAACCCAAAACCTTCTAAGAGGCAATGGGCAACTTGCAACGAGGGAAATTTTGACTCAGTTAAAGGAAATTATGCTCTTCTCTCCCAAAGGTGATCCAGCACTGGCATAGGTGTTCAGAGTGTCCAGGGAAATTCCACTCTTGGAAATGTGCGAGACTCACCTGGACAAGAACCTGACTTAGCCTTGGAATTAACAGGACTAACAGCTCTCTGAGCAGGGAGACAATTCCCGTGGTCCCTTCTCAACTGTCCATGATCCCACTTGGAGGAGAAATTTGGAAATTTATGTCTCCCCCATGCATTTGTATTACTCTTCAGATTCACTGAATTTCTTTAAACGGAGACACATGATACAGAGGCTTCTTCCTAAAGCAGTGGGAATATTAATAAATAATTTGTCTTTCATTTCACTTCCCCCTCTTCCCATGTGCTGTCTTGAACCTCTTTGCATGGTTATTGTGCCCAGAAGTCTACTGAGTTTTTAAATGCTGTGTTTTTTTTTCTAAGATGGCTTTAGTTCTTCCATGCACTACTTTCCTGTTAGTCTACAAATGGATGAATTAGCTGACAAATGGTCTTGCATCAGCAGTAATACTGATCTTTACTCTTGCTGACTATTAAAAAAATAAATCAAGGAAGGAACATAGTTTGTCAGCTACAGATTAGGGGTTCTCCAGTTGATAACTTGAGAAAAGATGCCACAATGAAAATCAGGCTAAGCAAGCAAGAGCCTGAGAACTGTGCATATGTGGGCAGTCCAGTAAGATGTAGACAGCCTGAGCTGAAGCCTGAGGCTTTAAGGCAAAATTTGTCAGTCTGCCAAAAGCCTTGAAAGAAACCAGTTTCAGAACCAAGGATCAGACTACAGTCTGGTTGGAACCATTGGAAGTATGCAGGAGAATGGTACCTGTCTTAATGGTAAAAAAAAATAAAGCAAAAAAACCCTCAAACCTAAAAAAATCCCTGTAGAAGTCTATGCTTCTTGTTTCTTTCTTTGTATCTGGAATTAACATAATCTCAGAGACTCCAGGATGTATCATACCTGGATGACTGGCATGATGCTAAAGAAGAAAACAGAAGGCCAAACAGGGACTGATCTAACTTCTGCCTTTGGTAGATAAAGGAGATGTCAGACAAAATAGTCAAAGTCTTCTCAGAGGACTTTTAGTAAAGGACAAAGAGGCAGCAGGCACAACTTGCAACAAGGGAAATTCTATCTATGCATGAAAATAATTTCTCCCCTTGTCCCAAAGGTGGTTCAGGGTGGCACAGGCGTTAAGAGATGCTGGGGAATCACTGCCCTTGAAGGTGTTCAGGGCTGCCCTAACAGCCTGATCCTGAGCAGCCTGATCCCATTACCTTTGATCTAACCTTGTAGTTAGCCCAGTTCTGAACAGATAGAGAACTAAAACCCGCTGTGTGAGTTCAGAACTAAAACTTGCTGTGAGTCTGGGATAACATTGTAGTATGGGAACAAACAGAAAGTTATCAGAGTTTCTGTAGCCCTGGTTCCTCTTTTGGATTTGCACCAAATTGTCAAATGTGATTTCCATTACCTGGGAGTCATGTAATCTTCAGCTGACCTTGGTCCAGGATATGGCTTGCAGTTTCCCATCATAATGCCCTGGTGTGTGACTTCTTGACATTGTTGCAGGTGAATACCACCCTGTGTATTGAGGATGGATTTGAAAAGCCAGTTTAGTCCTTGAAAAGCAAATGGTATCCAGTCTCTTAGAAAGACTCTCCCTTTTATATCTTCCAATTACTTTTTTTGTTATTATGACCATTTTCACCAGGAGAGCACAATGCTTTACTGGGTGATCTGTCATCCACTCACCTACATTCCTACAGCATGGAAGAACCTTGAGCATCAGTCCACACTCTGCTCTGGACATGCATGTGCCTTGTGCACACTGAATCACAGGGTAGGTTTTTTGAGGCATTCTCTGGCACATGTGCATCCTGAGATTCTCTGCCAAAGTAAAGAGATGGAGTGAAACCTACTTGTGCTCCTTCAATCCTCTGGAGGATTTTCTAGGAGACATTTCTTCCATAGTGACAGAAATGTGTATGTTTCAAATGAAAATACAGAGAAGGTGCTGCCTTCTTCATGTTTCTTGAATGTGTGATTCCAGGTATATGCCTGTCCTGTGCCAGGTCTTGCTTTTTCCGTATTTTGGAGCCATCCAGAAGGGAGAAGTAAGATAAACATAGCTATAGCTCTTGAGACTGGAGACAGAGCTGGGTGACATAATGCAGTCGTACCTGCCAATTTTGTTACTCACTCTCTGTTTTCTTTGCTTCTTTCTTCTGTTTGTCTGTCTCTCTTTGTCTCTTTCACCAGTAGCAGCCCTATTATTACACGGATGTCCTGACTGTGGGGTGTGCTGTGGGTGTTGGCTGCTGCTTTGGGACACCGCTTGGAGGCAAGTGGCTGTTCTGTTTCCTTTTCCTCGGGTACCTAAATCCTCTCCCGCCTAGTCCTCTTCTCCTTTCCCACCCCTCTGCAACACATTTTTGGTGTGACATTTACTTTGGACAGAGACACTTACTTTTAGTGTTTTCAACCTCCCCAGGATTTCTGACAGTCTTTTTTCCACATGTTGTCTGCTTTCTGGGGGCAAGAGGAGAAGGCTCTCTAGAGCAGTGGTCTCCAAATTGGGGTGTGCACACCCCAGGGGGTGCACAAGGTGATCTGCTGGATGTGGGAAGAAAATACCAGAATTCCTATTTTTTTAATATAAAAAATAAACAGATTAAACTTCACTAATGTTAAGTATTTGTGTTGGCAGTAGTGTCCTAATGTCACATGGCCACTTGTCACATACAGTGGATGAGGTGTAGAGTTGCTCCCAATGTGGAGGATTGACCATGGTGCCTTCAATAATTTATTCTCTTTCAGCATATTGCAATGAATTGCAATTGATGTGTGCCCACACTGGATTAAGTGGATTTATAGATTATATTATCTAGCGTTAATGAAACTAATCCTCACACATTGGAAAAGTGGCTTTTAAAGGTTCCTGCAAAGAATATGGATTGAAGATAACACTAATAATGTGAGCACAGAGAAATGACAGGGAATGGCAGAGCTGACACTTCTAGTACAGGCCCTTATTCAGTCCCATTATGAGGAACAAACAATAGCCAGCTAATCAGATCTGAGGGGAAGTAGGATAAAAAAAGATTAAAATTATCAAAGGTTATTTTAAATATGAATTTATATCTGCTATCGTTACATGATAAACTTTACCCTGTGTGTGTATTGTGCTTTGATAAGTTAACTAATGAGGGTATGAAGCCATCAGAATTAGTGAGACATTTAAAATTTAGTCCTCCAGAGCATGAAGACAAACCTCTACAATTTTTTCAGTGATGCTTCAAGCCGTGTGACATTCAATCCAATACTTCACAAAATTTCACTGAACCTTATAACAAATGTGTAGAAGCCTCCTTTGAGTTTTCTTGCTTCACGGCAAAAGAAAAAATGCCACATACTACAGGGGAAAAACTTGTTCTTCCTGCCATAAAACGTAAAAATGGCTGTGATAGTACACAGAAAGCAATAGAGGAGCAAACTAAAATGTGTTCTTTCATCAGTAAACACTGCTAGAAGATGCATAGCAGACATTCCTTAAGGTTTGAAGAAACAAGAGTCTGTATGAATTACATAGTAGGAGAGGTTTCCTGTGCAGCTGGATTAGAGTACAGATGTTCTGACATGCCTCAGATGATGGTATTTTCCAGATTCTGTTTCAATAGTAAAATGCAGATCTTCTTTCTGAGAGACACTGAAAGGAATATCTACCACAGAAGCTGTATTCTCAACAGTAAATTACCTCTTTAATAAAAAATGTTTTATGGAAGAGCTCTGCAAGTGTAACAACTGGTGGAGCAGAATAAGAGAAGAATTGGGGGTTAAGGTTACCTAGGCACCACTACACCTGGAATTCATGCACTGCAGTGTTCACAGATGAGCTATTGCAGCAAAGAGATGGGAGCCAGATATGCACAAGGTGCTACAGGATGTGGTTGATGTGGTTCATTTAATAAAAACAAGACCCTGAAAGAGTAGAATCTTTACAGTACTTCATAACAAGATGGGAAATGACCGTGAAAACCCTACAGGCATTTGCTGGTTATCTGATAGCAACTTTAAAGAAGACGAGAATTTAAAGTCCAGTTGTACCTTTTTCTTTTACCAAAAGACAAGTGCTCTGAATTTGCTGATTTTTTTCTGTGATGACAAGTGTCTGCCAGTAGATTGCTACCTAGCAGTTATTTTTGAAAAAGTAAACATACTTAATGTACTTCAAGGTGAAAGTGATGTTCTAACAGCGGGTGAGAAAACTGCTTTTCAAAAGAAGTTTGTGGAGGTTTTGTGAGTCTGCTGCTAAATACAATGTAAATGTCTTAGCTACAAAAACTGTCACTTTATATATACTCAAAAAACTTGAAAACAGAAATTTCTACCTTTTAAAAAGTCTTCAAGATTATAATTTTAAGTGGGTTTTGAACTTGTTAAAAATATAAAAATTCAACATCTTCTGATTATTTTGCAACAACAAATGATTGACATCAGGGAGGATGAAAATTTACCACCCAAATTTTAATAAAAGTCTTTGTATATGTGGTGGGTGGGATTGAAAAAATAGTATCGTGATTTAGCCAGCACAGCAGATGATACATTTCTTGCATTTGGATCTATATATCTTTGTGAGATATTCTTTTTAGACCAAGTATCAGAATAATTGAACATGGAACCAAACCTTTGACTCCCTGTGTCATAAAGTGTTAAACCCAGATTTTTGAAAATAAAGAATATTACTATTTTAGTGAGAACAATATTTTATTTTCCATTAATAAATAAAACAAATTATTTTTAAAATTATGTTTACTCCATCTATATCTCATCCTTGTTTATTTTCTATTTTTGTGCATGTTTGATATTGTACACAATATTTTAGTACAGTAGTACATGTGCATTATTTTAAAATAAATACACATATGGGGGAGGGTACATGCTCAAAAACCTTTTTTTTGGTTGGGGTGCATGATCAAAGAAGTATGGAGACCACTGCTCTAGGAAGCTATTTAGAATCCTCTCTCATGCTTCTAACATGACACTTGTTATTTTAACTTTGCTCCCTTCCCAACTCTTTCTAGGAGTTCTTTTCAGCATCGAGGTCACCTCCACTTACTTTGCTGTGCGCAATTACTGGAGAGGCTTCTTTGCAGCCACCTTTAGTGCCTTTGTGTTCCGAGTCCTGGCTGTCTGGAACAAGGATGCAGGTAAGCTAAGAGCCATTCCTGCTCTCTTTGCACAGAGGTTGCTCTGTTCATGCATTATTTCCTATCTTTCTCAAAACCACAATGTTTTAATGGTGTTTGAAACTTCTGCCACAACACAAGACCTCTAGCGGCACAGAAGGAAGGAGAAAGGGAAGTGTCTTGCCATCTTGTCAGCTGTCTAACCCAACCTATTCCTAGGACAGGAGGGAAGTATCTAACTGATAAATGACAGAATATGAGTCCTCAGCAAGGAAAAAACGTCCTGAGGTGGGATTTTTTTGCCTCTACTCAGAATAGCATCCAGGCTGTAACACAGAGATAACCTGTCACACAATGCTGGAAAGCTCATGGCCTGCTTTGGTTATCTGTTGACTAAAAACAGATAGTCAAGAAAACTGAGATGATTGAATGAGTGGGAGAGTACAGGATTGGTAGGATCTAACTGAATGTCCTGAAAAAATAAAGTGTCTCAAGTAACTGAAAAGCACGAGAGTGACATTTGTTGCAGAAAGAAATTGCACAAGTCAGGAGAGCATCTCAGCTACTATGAGAACAGAGTTTTGGTGCAGAAGGCTGCCATTTCTATGTAAATTTCTTCCTTATAATGCTTTTACCTTTTATTCTTATAATTACATCTATGTTATTGAGCTCCATGTGGGCACTTTACTTACTTATAACTGCTATAACATGTCTCTCTTGACTTCAGAGGGATGGAGTTTTTGGGAGTTTGAATATTCTCTGGAATATAGAAAATTACTCCACTTTCTACCTGAATGTAGAAAGTGAGTACATTGTTCTTTGTGTAGCACTGCCTAAAAGTCAGTATTTAACCATCGGATTTGTCACAAAAAACCCAAAACCCCTATCTTTCTGTTCTTTCCAGAGAAAAATATAAGAAACTCAAAGACAGATAACAGGAGATCATTTCATGTCCTTCACTTTGTCTTTTCTGACTCCCTTCTTGGTCTCTCAAATCACTAGAAATTAGTTTAATTTCAAATCATTAGATATTAGTTTAATCCTGAATCATCTTGACTACTGTCCCTTCTTCAAAATCATCCAGACAGCTTTAATACCCATATTAATGGCTCCTTAAGTTCTTCTTCATTGACTGTCTAGGTTAAAAAGTTCCATGATTCAACTGGCTATGAAAAATCATTCCTTTTCACAGTTCTGTATTTTTTTTGTGTTGTCAGTCTCCTTGTCCTTGTATTAGGAACTAGGAACTTCTATCTAGCTAAGTCATTCATTATTTTATGATCTTTTATCATATCTGCTCTAACTTGCCTTTCATGTCTTTTCGTGCTCATTTATTTCCCTTCAAAAGTTACACACCCAGTCTTCTCAGTCTCTGTTCATGTTCTATTATGCTTGCTACCAGGAAGAAGGAGGTAGGGAAGTGATCACATCAGAATGACACATGCAAGTAAGTTGTGTAGCATCCCACCACAATTCTTGTATTTCTTAGGCCCACAGAATCTTTGCTGGATTTTTTATACTCATGGCTTTGTTGGCTGGCCTTACACCATTATCTGTACTTTCCAAACAACTTCTGGTTATTTGCCAGCCACTCTGGTTGGCTGCTGCAGCTTGAGCACCTCTTTGCCCATCATGGAAGGCTGGAGTTGTGCAATTTACAGGATTTTTGTTTTGCCATGTCACCAGCTTTCATCTTACTTGCCATGGGATTTCATGCCTTGCCTTCCTCCTGCTCCTTCTGGTTCCTTCTACACAGGGTTCAGTGTTATCATAAAGTTCAAATCTATTTTTAAATAAATGTTCACATTAACTACTTTCCCATTGCTTTTTACTTCTAGCTTTGTAGGAATTGGACAGATAATCTAAAGGAGTACATTTTGTAGCCAGTGGAGAAAAAAGGGCTTAGACATTTAGTTTCAGGATGGCTTAGTCACTCAGGAAAGAAGATGTAGACAGGTGGGTTGAGTCTCTCTGTGGAAATTTCTTTCTCTCCTCTGGGAGTAGAGATGGAACTAAGAAAGACACAGACTAAATGCTGTGCCTATTTTTCTTTCCTCTGGTCATCTTTGCCACCCTGTAGCAAAACTCTTTGAAAATGAGTTCACTATACTTTTTAATGCTCTGCCATTTAGTGGCTTGGACTATCTATTTCCTAAAACTGAATTGAGATGATCCCTTTCTTGGGCTGATCTAAAAAAAAGAGGGCACCCTGCTTTTCACCATCTTCCATCCCTGACTGTTCTTTTAACCCTCCCTGGTGCCATCTCTATGTTTGTTGTTCCCCTCAATTCAACTCACTTCCCTGGCAAAAGAGTAATCCAGGGAAAGTCAATAGGTTTTCTGGCAGGTTTTAATGAGGCAAAGGAGCTCAGAGAAGGCTGTGATGTGTCAGTGGGCCCGATGGGAGAGGAGAACAATAGCACGGCCAGGAGGGAAGGGGCAGTGGGAAGAGACAGGGAGCAAGATCTTCCCAATTTGGATAGTAGAATGCAGATTTAGGCTTAGCTATCTCTGGTAATGGAACCCACTGAGACCTCATTAAATTATTACTCTAAACCTAGTTCTGTCTGACCAAATAACAAGTACTTAATGCTTGCTGTTATCATATGCTAGATTTTCACTGCTTCTTTTATTTCCTCATTGAACAAATAATTCCTTCATCCAGGGAAAGCTGGGGTTTATAGTCATTCTCATCAACTGCACTTCCACTCTGTATTAAATTGCTAATTTATCCTTCACCTGTTGGCACACAGATGTTTATTTTTTCTACACAATAACACACCTCCAGATAAAAGCAGCTCAGGTTTCAACATTTCATTGTAGCAGAGCAGCACTACCAGGAAGGGTGAGCTGGAGAAGATGGGGCTTAGCTGATCCTTTCCATCTCTGGTTTATAAGCCTTTCATTGTTTTGGTACCAGTCAAAAATTTTGAAGCTCTAACTTCAGTGAAAATCTGAGTTTTGTTTCTGGAAGGCAACCACAACTGTGAGAAGTGATACAGCTTTCTCAGCTATGCAGATATTGCCTGCCTCGGCAAAGAGACCTCTCAGTCAGTAAGAATACCAGGAAGAGCTTTTTTTAATAGTGAATGGATGGCAGAAGACAAGAAAGAAAAGAAAACCCTAAAAAATCAGGAATTGCTGCTAAAAATAATGCATACATTCTCTGAAATCAAACCTAGATCATCTAGAGTGCTAGGGTTGCAAGTGCTCAAAAATAGAACCTACTAAATCAGAGCAGTCTGCCAATCTTTAATAATGTATATAACATCAGGAAACCACACAAGAGCATGTATAAACCAGTTTCCTTGTTTCCCTACCCCTAGCTTTTATTGCATTTAACTTCTCACTTCATTATTTTCTTTTCTCCTCTACCTTTCATCTTTCACAGTTACCATCACAGCCCTGTTCAGAACAAACTTCCGCATGGACTTCCCCTTTGATCTGCAAGAGCTGCCAGCATTTGCTATAATAGGGTAGGTTCCCAGGAAACTAACACCTTGCTCTACAAAGGTTATAATATCATCTGTGTTAAGAATTCTTCTGCCAAAAAGTTGCATACATCACTTTTAGTCACTTTGGTTGTCACAAATAAGGCTTCTATTTGTTGGAATTCTTCCTTCAGAAATGGTGCCCATGCATCACAATGGCTAAAGAAAGAAATATGGGTATTATTAAGGTGTTTGTTATTTCCTTTCCATGCATCTTTTTCAGAAATTAAGCTTGGAGGTTAAAAAGAAAAAAATAGGTAAGTCTAACTTGGTCATCTATTCTGGGAATAGATGTACTGAATAGCCTTTTAATTGTTTTGACATGATCCCCCAATGAACGGATCCAACAAGTATGGCCTTTTCTCATGACAAAGATGGAACAAAAGGTTTAACCTAAAGTTTCCTTTTCACAAGCTCAGAATAATTATCCTTTTTGAGAGAGGTTGGTATACCTGACATGGTGACAAGGGTAACCAACAGTAACTGGATTCAGTGAGAAAAATGGTTCATTTGGAGTAAATGAAAGAATAAACTTAAGAAAAATGAAAATTGGGAAATACTAGAGAAAAGATGAATTTGGAATTACTGTGGGGAAAAATCTCTGGTTAGAGCTTGAGGGAGGCGCCAGGGAAATCACTTCAAGGCAGTAACAAAAGGAATACACTGTAGGAATAAACACCTGTTCTGGTGTTGTGAACATATTCTCTTGCAAGAAGATACCTCCATCCAAGACCAGAAATATATTTGAAGTTTTCCAGCCTATTTTCGTAGGCTGCTCTCCTACTAATTTACTTGAATATGAAATCAAGTGGGGGGTTTTGAAGCTATCAGATATATTGAAAGATCTGTGAATACACAAGAGCTTTTGCTAGCAACATGTATTAACTTTGTTCTTCCCCTTAAACAGACTTGCCTAATGAACTTGGAGGAATCTACTGGTTTAGACTGGCAAGGAAAAACATAATCCTTGTGATTTTACAGCTAGTTGTTAGAATGCAAAACCTCTTGTCAATATGTTTTGAACAGAGTTGACAGAGCTGGCTTTTCTCAGCATTGCACATAGGCTAGGAAAGGAATATATGACAACTGCAAAATACTTTCAAATGCCTGGGTGTCTAATGTGGTCTTTAAAATAAAAAACAGCTCCAAAGGCTTGGATAGTCTTGAATAAAGTCCTGATGCCAACTTGGAATACTCCAAATTTTCTTAACATGAAGTCTCAAAGTTGAACTCTCTTTCTACCCAGCATATTTCTTCACCTTCAGGTGGGACAAACACTAACAATGGGTATATCTTGTTTATCTGTGTAACCAAATGTTAATTTGCATAATCTGCATAGAAGGAGCACTTCCAGTTTATTGATAAAATAATAGGAATGGAGAGACGTATATTTTAATATAAAATATTATAGAGCTATGCAGTTGACTGTGCAGTCTTTAGGCTTATATTGCCTAAGGGACTGGTCTATTTTAAACACTGTTCTAATCAGTGCTGGCTTAAAATATTGAAGAGTAATTCATTAAACCTGTTTGTCTGTGAAAAGCTTTATATTTAGTTTAAATGTGCAATTTTTAAATTATAAAGCAGGATTATTTTCAATGTACAATGTTTTAAGTATACTAAATAATTCATTGAATGAGATTTGGCAAAAGCATGCATAACATATAATCAAGCAAAAGTCCATTAATTTTAGAAATTAGCAGAATGAAAATATTCAGTGTTTATCCTCAGTATTACGTGAGTTATTACTTGCCACCTAAAATAAAGCTTCCCCTTACCAATTCTAAATGCAGTCTTTTTTCACTCTTCTTTTTCTTTTCATGTTCAAGTATTAGGCCCTATTTATCCAAGTCTCATTAAGCTACAGAGCCTAAGGATCACACCAATTCTTAGACAACTACACTTTTTTCTTGATTTATTAAAATCAGGAGCATAAGCCTAAGTGATTAGGATAATAGAGATTACATACTTTGCTTTAGGCACAAGAGTTCCTATTGCTATTAGTTATTGTTGTAGGCGTATCATTTTACTGAATCAGATTTAAAACCCCCCTCATTTTTGCTATTTTCTGTTCCAACCTGATGTTTTAAGTTCTGACAACACTGCTCTTTGCCTGGTTGCTCTTCACGAGCCCTCACTGAGAACTGTCGGTCTCTTTTTGAAATGATTTTATAGCTTTTTCCCCTCTCAGCAAGAGAAAATTCGTAAAATAGTAGTGTGCATGACAGAGGTCCAAAATAATTTCTCCTCTTCCGTCAGGGAGTCAATATCTTCAAACGAGCTGCTGTAGGAGTAACCCTCTAGGTGACATTCAAAAGACTTCAAGAGCAGCTGAAGATGAAACCACTTAAACTCATTTTCTTTGTTGATGGTTTGTGTATTACCTGTTGTTTGGCATGATTTTATTTCTTTTTTTCTGTTTTAGCATATGTTCTGGATTCCTTGGAGCCTTTTTTGTTTATCTCAATCGCCAAGTTGTCCTGGGCATCCGACGTCATAAAGCCCTGAGCCAGTTTCTCACCAAATAGTGAGTGTTTGTGAAGATATTCTCTTTAGGGACCAGATTCTTACACCCTACTGGTATTGGAGAGTAGCAAATGCTTTCTGGATGACAGCAGACCTATTTCATGTGTAAGATAGTAAAAAGATGAGAAACTGCTCCTGTATGAGAGTAAGATCTCTGCAAACATCAAGAGAATTTTTCCGGTACTGGATTTTCCTTTTGGTCAGCTTCCATAGTGTCAAATAGTTTCTTGATTTGGAAGGGAGACTCTGCAATATTTGTTAAGAGGATAAGGCAAACTATTAATTGGACAGAAAACGTTTTTAATTAGAAAGTCAATGATCATGCTTCTTAAAATCAAGCTGTTTCTGGTTTGTTTGGGTTTTTAGGATCTGTGCAAAAATTCAACATTACTTATATTTCAGGAAAATTATATATAGCTGAAATCTAACTATGTTCTTGAAATATATATTTGTTTTTTAATCAAAGCGTTGGCAAAAATGTAAGGAATCTGCTCCATTCTTATGAAACAAAAGCTGAAACTGATAGTAACCAAATGGTGTGAAATGCAGCATGGAAGTGAAATGCAAAATAAAATAAAAGTCTTTACAATAAAGTTTTTACAGGACACTTGAAGATACTGTTTTCCTCTCTCTATTAAAGTCTTAACCTCCAAAGTTCATAACTTGGACAAGAAATGGTGGCTAGCTGTAAATGTCTTCAGTCTCTTTACAGAAAAAGATCTGATACTATGAGAATTTTTGAAGTTGAGAGGCATGGAAGACTTTATTTCTTATCCAATTGCAGGCCTGACCAGAAGAAAACCACTAAATAAACAGAAGCTGAAATTAACTTACTTTCTTATGTGCAAGGAAAAATGTCTTTCTTCACCATATAGCCTCTTACTCACATACAGCAGCAGAGCTATCAAATCAAGTTAATACAGAAGTAGAGAAAAGCCTGAAAAGTGGGAATCTACTTTTTGCTGATTTCTCAGAATTTTTTAGGTCCTTAGACTGAATCAAATTAAAGGTTATATTTTGTCTTCCTAAATCTCAGAAAACACTTCCTGTAAAAAACAGTAACTTGCCGAGGGACACATGGCAGGATTAGTCCAGCATGCAGAACCAGTTTAGGCTTGTGTTGTCTCAGTGCTTGTGAAGTGTCACAGCAGAGCAGGGCATTAAGCTGCCAGTAAGATCACTCCAAAACAATGGAGACAAATACAGAGAGCATCACAGAAATAGCATTCCTAGTCCTGAAGTGATGGTGCTACAAGAACAGGATGTGAGGCCATGTTGTAATAACTTTCTTTCTTTACAGCCGACTGATATACCCTGCAGTTATAACCTTCTGTATAGCGTCTGTGACGTTTCCTCATGGATTTGGGCAGTTCATGGCAGGAGAGGTGAGACTGGAAAGTGTATTACCAATTCTGTGCAGTTCTTTGGAACGTTATCTCCTTATCCTCTGCCCCAATAACCTTGTGTCAGGGAAAAGGGAAGAATGATATGGGAGGAGTTTGGACTGAGGAGGCACTATATGATCTCTGCTACCTCCTTCATAGAAAACGTGAAAAAGGTCCACTCTTCTAAGCAAATAATAAGAAAGATGGTTACACCATGAGTAAAAGTAATTATGTCTTCACCTGTTTGAGTAAAGTTATGCCTCTCTTCCTGAAGATTAGAAACATGAATTAAGCCTCATAATCATGAATTCCCATGGTAAAATCTCCTTCACTTCCTTGCAATACAGATAGAATATTTACTCTATCTAATGTCATGACTCATACCTGCTTTTTTGTTGTTTAGCTGATGCCACGGGAAGCCATCAGCACTCTCTTTGATAACTATACCTGGATCAAACACTCTGGGGACACCCAGATCCTAGGGAAATCTGCTGCCTGGATCCATCCTAAAGTCAGCGTCTTTGTCACCATCCTGCTCTTCTTCCTTGTGAAGGTAGGAAGCCCAGCTCACCATAACCCTTCTCCACTCACACTGAATATGCTTCCCTTTTGTAAAGCAGTTTGTGAAGAGCCAATGAGGAGCTGCTGGGCATTGAATGAAGCACTACAGCTGCAATGGATTCCTACATCTTCTGATGTGATGTTTATCCACCTCAAATTACAAAAATTATTAGGGAATATTTTCCTTAAAATAGTGGCCTTTTCTGCTCCCTAGGTCATCCTGCTCAGGCATCCTGCTGAATGACGTTTGGTATCCACTGTATAGCAGCTGGTAGGGAAGGCTAAATCAGGAAAGATTTCTCAAGTACCAATATAAGAAATACTTGACTAAAAAGCTCTCAGATAATTTATGTTTGCTCTAAACGAGGTCTGACACACTCTATTTGATATTCCTGACTTCAGATAGGGGACAAATAGGAATATGCAAGCACAATCTATAGCTGTGTGAGGCTCAAGGATTTCTTAGAAGTCCATCAAAACTTCATGGAGAAATGCAGCTGGAAAGTTTTGCTCACTTCCTAGAAAGCAACAGCAGATTAAAAATTCTGAGCTGACATGGTCTGTGGAAGTTGCAACTGTTCAGCCTCTGAAAGGATCAGCTGTGTAAATGACATAGGATAGAGAAAAAAAAAAGACATTTGAAAGAAGAAAACATCATATTCCAATGTTCAAAATAAAAATAGCAAGAAGGAGGTTTTCCTAAGATGAAAGAAAGAAAGATTTAAAAATATCATAGAATAGGTGCTAATTATTTTATTATTTACTTATTGCAAAGGGGCAGAAGAGCTGAGGCCACCTTGCAATGTCAGTTGAAAATTTAGGTAGATCAAGAACAGCTATCAATGACTGATTGACACAACTGTTTCCACCTAAAGTAAAACACTCTATCAAATTTCTGACAGGTAGTTAAGGGTCCTCCCTCTGTGATAATTCTTATTACAGAGTACCAAGCTAAAAAGGTCTTGCTTACTTGAAGAAGAGGAGTGGAAAGGATGAGTGGACTACAGGGTGTGTCTGTTTTGAGTCATCTACCTTTGGAGGAGCTGTACCCTTGGTCACTAGATTCATTGGCATTGTCCTGCTAATTGAAGGCTTTCTCTACTCGCTAGATAACTGCTCTTGATTTTCTGCTGGATATATTCAGCATTGGGATAGACCACATAAACAAGAAACTGCTATTTTGACTCTGGGCAAAGGCCTGGCCTGATTCTCCACTGCAGTATAGTCAGTTTTTAGCTGTATTTGGCAAGGTTTGGTACTGCCAAGACAGAACTCAGTTAGCGGTACTACACCTCAGCAGCTTTCTGGTCTCTGTAGCCAGGCTGGGCACAGAGTGGAGCTGCAGGAAATGCTACTGACACTCAGTAACAACTGCACCCTCTGCCTCTGTTCTAGTTCTGCATGGCTGTTATTGCCACCACGATGCCAATCCCCTGTGGAGGCTTCATGCCTGTTTTCGTACTAGGTGAGTTTCAATTTTGTTTTGCAGCCTATTCATCTGACAGGGGAAAGAATAGGAGAGACACTGCCTACACACCCAGCAGGGTTCATCTGGCATATGAGAAGTCATCACTTGATGTCTATGACAACCTGATTAGCAGTCCATAGACCAGCCTCTGGGTCTCTGCTTTTGACATTTCCTCAACCCCTGAAACCAAATGCCAAGTAGGTAATCCCTACCCTTTTACATAAGGAAGGCCGCACTTGCCATGGCCTTCTAATCTCTATGCCTCTTCACTTACAGAGAAACTTCCATCCTATAATTAATAGTAGCTGCTCCTTTCACCCCTGAAAGGCAGCCAGAAGAGATAACCTCAAAACTAATACCCACAATATAATCTAACTCCTTTCTTCTGACTGAAATGTGATAACAGAAAAAGTTTATTGACTTTTAACTGCTTTTAATTCCAATAACAACCAAAAAAAATCAATATGATGCCAATGTTTAGAAAGAGAGGCTGTGATAGACTGAACTACACAAGCTCATGACATTCAGCACTAAGTACCCACAACTCTCAAATGAAATAGGGTGCTCTAAGGACCTCTGAGTTCTGGCAGGCAGCAACTAAACATGAGACAGTAACCAGGCCCTTGCAGTGATGAAGGCTAACTAGCATCAGGGCTGTATTAGGAAAAGACCTAGACAGCAATGCAAAGAAATTGTTTCTATGCATTCCGCATTTTGGATACAATTCTGGAACACAGTGCTGTTTTGTGTCCACCAGTCCAAGAGATCCTTGCAGACTGTAAAACCTGTCTGAACAAGACATAGGTGACTCCATCTTCCTTTGAAATCACCCTTTTCTGAGCAGGGGTCAGAATAAGACCTCCAGAAGTCCCTTCCCACAAAAACTCCTCTGTAAGCTGTGATTCTAATGTTTAGACATTCACAGAATGAGAGTCTAAAGGGCCTCAACTGTGATCTCGACTGACATTGTACACAGTCTGAAAATATGCCCTCCTCCAGCCTGGGAATCCCAGCCTGGGAATCCTCTAGCCTGGGAACCACAGCTACTGCTGTGCCTGGTGTGCCCAAGTGAATGAATGAGGGGTCAACTGTATTTACCAATCTTAGTACCCTTTTTTCCTTTTGGAGTCTAAGTTCTGTCTTTTGTAACTGAGAACTACTCTTTAGTTACCAGTGTCATTTTAATGTAAGTTTTGGCTTTGTTTCTTTAAAAAAATATCCAAGTGATTGCCCAGCACAGCTGCACAGCACAGACTGGATGTTCCTTAAATGTTAACTCCATAACTGTCAGTGATATTTTTCAGGTGCTGCATTTGGACGTCTCATTGGGGAAATCATGGCATCGCTTTTTCCCAACGGGATCCTCTTTGATGACATTCTCTACCAAATCTTACCTGGAGGGTATGCTGTCATTGGTGAGCCTCCATGTCTTCCTTTTTCCTCACCTGGTCCCACTGCTGTAATTTTTCTGGTTGAAATTATATGCTGTTCCTATATGACAGTCTTCTTCTCTCCCTGTTCCTTTTCCTACCTGGGAAAGGTGCAGCAGCTTTGACAGGAGCGGTGAGCCACACTGTCTCCACCGCTGTCATCTGCTTCGAGCTGACGGGTCAGATCTCTCACATCCTGCCCATGATGGTGGCTGTCATTCTTGCCAACATGGTGGCCCAGAGTTTGCAGCCCAGCCTCTATGACAGCATCATCCAGGTGAAGAAGTTGCCCTACCTGCCAGACCTGGGCTGGAATCACATAAGGTATTAGTAGCAAAATAGGTGGAAACAGGGAGTGGCAAGGAAATAAAGCAGGAGAGGGTTAAGACCACAGGGGAGTAAAAGGTTATGAAAAGGGTCCAGTACTACAGAGGAATTAAGAAGGCACAATAGGCCTGCAGTAAGAAAAAACAAGTGATGGAATAGAATTAAGTTTCATACACAAAACTGGAGAAAAGTCCTCTTCTTTTTTTCACCGAAAGGACAAGTCTGAATGACCTGCAATGTTACTAAATTTGTATTAACGTTCCCAAATTGCTTCAGCTTCAAAATTTGAAAATCATGAGTCTCATTTATCTAAATTCAGTGGGGTTTGGATATTTTTTCCCCAGCAAATGTTTTAAATACTTTATTTGGGTATTTTGCTTGAAGCAAAACTCAGTTATTCCTATAAATGTCTTCCCCTCTCTAGTATATGTCATACACATGGGTATGTATATAAAAACCATCTATACATATATGTATACATGTGTGTATTTTATGGTGAGGGGTAACAGAGTGAAATACAACTGTAATGAAAATCCAGTTAATCTGTATTTATCCTCTTGGAAAGTCCTCTGGTTACTCTCACAGAAGATCATTTGGCAGCTATATTTTGAGCACTTTTTTTAAAAGTAGTCATTTGGGTATTTCTTTAGAGAATTTTTAATATGCTAACTCTTCCTCTTATCATCCCCAAATTCACAGCAAATACAATATCTTTGTTGAGGACATTATGGTCCAAGATGTGAAATTTGTTTCCTCTAACTGTAAATACCGAGACTTGCAAGAGGTACTCCAAAGCACCACAGTGAAATCTTTGCCTTTGGTGGACTCGCCAGGTAGGCAATGTGGAGAAATTGGTCCTTCCTGAAGACTGTCTCAGCTTGGAGAAACTAGCTTTCAAATTACATGATGTGAAGCAGGCAGTGTGACCTGCCACATTAAAAAAAAATCCTAAAAATCTCCCACTGCAGATGATGTATGGCAGACGGCTGTTTCAGCTGGCCAGCAAGGAAGCTGGAGTGTGGTCAGTGAAGCAGATCCAGCATGTAAGGGAGATGTGTGGGAAGTCTGTAAATTGAACTGTAACAACAGGGCCCTCCTGGGATCCTGCATGAGCCAAGAGCATGCATGGGGTGGCACAGCTCAGGATGGCGAGGTCCCTTCCCACAGCCCCACAGCCTAGGAGCCACCACAGGGCAGGTCAGTGACTCTTGTACAACTCTAGATAGTATGAACCTGAGCACCTGGAAGAGGCTGGAAGGAGGAAGGGGTGAGGTGTGGAAGGGGACCTTCAAAACCTTGGGGTGGTTTAATGGCTTCCCCACTCTGTGTTGTGCAGAGTCCATGATCCTCCTGGGGTCCGTGGAGCGGTCGGAACTGCAGGCTCTCCTCCAGACACACATCAGCCCAGAGCGGCGACGGCTCCTCAACAGAGAAATGCAGCAGAAGCTGAATGAGGCACCCTATGATGGACCCTGGGCAAACCTGCCCAAGCTGAAGCATGAATCTTTTGCTTATGTCGATGAGGATGAGGATACAGAGGAGAAGGGAGAGGTGAGGGAGAGAAGTGGGCAGACTGCAACATAGAGACTGCTTAGAAGCAGTTAGGCATTTGGGGAGGCTAAGAAATAAATGGCACAAGGTGGACTTAATTTTCTCTCCTTTCCGTAACAGCTGCCTCGGCCTCCAAGTCCCACTCCCAGTTACCCAGAGGAGCCAAATGGCCCAACAAGTCCTCTTAAACAAATGCCCGAAACCTTGGAGCCCCAGCAACATTCAGGTATGGTAACTTCTGTCATGGCTTAACCACATCCTAGCCAGCTTGGGGAAGCTTTCGTGCCAACTGTGTGTACCTGCCTGTGTGAGGGGCTGGTTTCCCAGAGACTGAGAGAAGGAGCTTTCTCTGCTGCTCCTGAATGACACTTTGTTAGTGCACCCCAACATTAGTGTACCTGGAAATACGTTCTGTTATGATCCCTCAGGCAGCACAGAATAAGTAGGTGCACTAAAGATGGACTCTCTCTGTCTCCCCACTCCATTCTTTGCAAAAAGAACTCCTTGGACATTTTCTGTAGAGTCTGAATAGAACGGTCCCATCTCTTGGCTCCTTCACCACGTGAGTGAATCTTCCTGGGGAAAGCAGCCTGAGAGCTAAACACCTGCACTAATTTTTTGAGTAGCTTAGGTTGTTGTTCAGCCATCTCCAATACTGAAAGGCTCCTCCCTTGGACAAACATCTCTTTGATTCAGCTGCATCAATGTGATGGACAAACATTGATGTATTGTGCTCTTTCGTGTCACACCCCAGCCTGTATTAGCTTTGCTTTCAAGACTGTACTCATAGCTCATTTCTGATTCATTTTTCATGTATATGTGATGCAGGATGATGGGTTGTTTTTATCCTTTATGCACCCTGAAATATGCAGAGAGTGAGTAAGCACAGAGATGTAGCCCAGTCTTGAGAATAAGTACAGAGGATAGTGCTTTAGCTCATGCTTTTAGGCACCCAAGTGTTACACGTAATAGAGCACATAGCACATTCTGCTTCATTAACACCCCTCATGTGTGACTAAACCTCTTAAGGCATAGAAAAATCCACTTTATGCTTCCAGAGCAGTGGAGTTGTGGGTCAGCCATCCACCTATCCTACCAAAGCAGAAAAAGAGCCACATATGAAAACAAGGACAGTGTGTGAAACATTTTATGTGAAGCTAGAACAGGGTGACCCAGGAGTGACATGAGGAAGTGCAACAGGAATGAATTAATGAGACCTTCCTTTTCTTTAGTTTGGCTCACAGCTATCACTGTTTCTGACCAAACTTCCTCCACATCCTTGTTCACAACAGCACCAGGCCTTGTATCCTTCTCTTTGCTAACTGCTTGCCTGGGAGTATAATTCTGATTCCCATCATTCCACTGCTGGCAGAATGCATGGACTCCTCACCTCTCGGCACCTATCACATCCAGTTTATTGATACGTTTTGTTGCATGGGAATATTCATTCTGGAATGTCCCAGATACCATCTTACAAACTGAATGCCAGATTGTGACTGGCCCATCTCTATCGTGTCCCTCACAGTATTTCCCAGCCTGCCTTGGCTAAGAGGATGCGTTAGGTGTGGGGCTTTGTATTTTTGTCTCTCACTTGTGCTTCTCTCTTATCCACATGTTTGTTCTCATCCTTCAGGCAGTTTCAGGAGTCTGAGGAAACTGATCCAGCAGCTCTTGTGCCATTGCAGCCGTCCACATGAAACAGAGAGCACCATCCAGGTTAGGGCTGCAGACAGCCTGGTAGTACCCTGAAGAAGGAAGGGAATGCAATGGAACTAGAAACTACTAGAGACATTCAGCATTTGGCTAAAGCATGGACACAGTTATGCTCCTGAACTCTGACAGCATTAGTGGGGAACTCCCTCCAAGGAGAAAGGGTGTGATTACTGCAAAGGAGTGTGCATCTTCCTAAAGAGTCGCCTGTGCTCAGGTGTCAGGCTACCATCGTGATTGAGTTTGGGCATCTTTTCTCAGTGAAAAAAAATTAATGATATTTTGGCCAACATGCAATAAAATGCAGTTCTATTCCATTTGGCAAACAGTTTTGGACAGATGGAGAAAAATGAAAAAAAAAAAAAAAAGCGCTTTTGGCTCTTGCCATGTTAAACACCCTTGGTTATCTAACACATCTGCACAGGGTTTGAGGATAACAGACAGAGCTTATGGGAGACCCATCCACTCCAGGGAAGTGGTTGGACCCCATGTGGGAAATCCTGAAAGCATCTAAATCAGTATTAGATGGCCATATTTAGGCACCTGAATTGCTCCAGCAGAACTCCATGGTCAGTTGTCATTGGCAAAGGAAGCACGGCAAGGGCAGAGTACACCATCTAATGGATGAGTATAAAGAAAATCTAAGCACTTGGAAAATCTAATACACCATTTGGAACAAAAAGGGGACCACATGGGGTGAGGAAGCTGTGCAAATTTTCCCTTTCTGTACTCTGTGAAACTCTGTGGGTTCTTTGGCTGTCCTGAACAGTGTTTTCTCCTACAGGAGCCAGTGGAAGTCATTGAGACAATGACACTAGAAGAGGTAAGATGGGGTGCAGAAATGGAGTGACGTCATGTGAGTGCTTCTTATACCCATTTCCTATCACTTGCAATACTCCAGAAACCTCAGTGATTGACAGATAAAGCCATAGCCAAAGTTATTTTCTTCTTGGAGTGGCACAATGGGCAAGTCTCACCCATAAGAAAAGATATTGGCTGGATGTGCTGGTAAGACTGCCTAATCCGATCTAGCTTTGAAGTCAGCCCTGCTACATCAGGGTTTTAGACTAGAGACCTCCACAGGTGTCCCCTCATCTAAATCCTTCTGTGGGCCCATGTTGTTCCTTCATTTCTTACACAATGGATCAATTATCTTGCAACAACAAGGGGAAGATGCACTCAGAAAGGAAAGCTAAAGATGTTCACTCCCTCTTTAAGAAGGAAAAAACCCCATCTTCTCAGAAAAATCTCTGAATTGTCCTGTTTCCACAGGGACTTGACATCTGGCAAGAAAGGGATGGGAAACCTGAGGGGTGAGATATAATGCACGAGATGAATGTTGCACATAGGAAGGAAGAAGCATTAACAGGAGGCAGGGACTAGTTTGGGTACACAAGACAGCAATGCTGCAGGTAGCTGTACAAGTGACCTCCCTTCTTTCCTGTGTCAGATAGATGCTTGGGAACAGGAGGAACTGAACAAGAGCGTGTGCTTTGATAGCTGCCGCGTAGATCCCTCCCCTTTCCAACTGGTGGAGAGAACTTCCCTGCACAAGGTGAGTACAGACATCTCCCTGAGGCATACACCATTTTTCTCCACTCATTCCAAGTCCAGTCTATTACTTATTTCTTCTCCTTGTCTTCACTTACAACTACTATCACCAGCCACTTTCACATCGAGCTACAGCAGTGAGCTTGTTCCTGTAATCTTCTGTGTATATCTCCAATCTCCTACAAAATTAAAGCCTTTGTGATAAGAAGTCTGAGTCCATTTATTTAAAAAGCTTTTGGACAAAAAAAAAAAAATCTGCTACACTGACAGCAGCATTGTGCTCCTTGCTGCTGAGGCATTACACTGAGATTGACAGTCTGCCCTTGTCAGTGTGCAGCACTGGAATGAGCGCTCCTGGTTTTGTCAGGGTGTGTCTGTCAGAGTGTAGAGTCTGCATGTGTCACAGGGTATTCATGGAACTGAAGCACAAGGAAAGAGGAAGCTGTATCATGCAATGCCTAGAGTCAGCATAGGATGACAGGAGAGTAAAGCAATCATTGTGTGTGAGGAGGAAGATAGGATTGGGCTTTCACTCAGTGGAAAGGGAAAGCAGTCTACTGAAGCAAAAGTGCACAGTGCATGCTTTTATCAATATTTAATGTGAATGGTTAGCATAGGCCTAAAATTAATTAATTACTGTTAAGATCCCAGCCTTGAGCAAGACAAGAATAAGCTAGTATATAGTTCAGATGAGTTTTCTAAAGGGGCAGGTGAAGTCATCTGAAAACCACTAGCATTTATCTTTGAGAATATAGGCTTACAAAAAAATGTACTTGAAGGCTGATCATGGGGAAAGTTTTGTACCTGTCATACAAAACAGCAAGTGAGAAACTCTGAAATAATAGACAAATCAACTTAACTTAGATGCAAAAAAAAAAAACAACCAAAACCAACAATTCAGGAATAATCAAACTATATGAAGTATGCACAGTTAGAGCTATGAGACTACTGACAGTGAAAAGAATACCAGAGTTTATCGTGACCAAACTATATTTAACCAGTCTGGTTTTCTTTTACATTAGAGTAAAATGTCTTGTTCTTGAGAAATCAGATTTTTCCTAATTTATACTTGAACATGACATTCAGTATCTCACGATGCTAAAAAAAAAGTCAAACACTAGCTGTGACAGAATGATTTCATGTAAGGCCGCAGGTAAAGTCCAGCTAGGAGGTTGGAAACATACCAGAGATGAGTACTGAGAATGTGGAAAGTTTTGGAAACCCAGATCTGTGAATAATAGGAAAATAATGGGGTATATTTAGGCTGAAGAAAAGAAGACTGATAGCGGTGTGATATCTGTCCTTTCAAGGAGACTGTCTAAGAAAAAGGGAATAACTTGTTCTCTGTGTTCTCACTGCACTGGATAAGCAGCAACAAGCTTAAGCTTTCACAGAAAATATTTTGGGACAGGAAAAAAGAAATCCTCTATTGATAAGGAAAGCACGGAAATAAGTAACCTAAGCAGTTTTTGACTTTACATATTATTAAATGGTAGCTCAGTTTCCAGCACCAAAATGAAACAGGATCTGCATAGGTCTCCAAATGCACAACATAGGGTGTTGTATGTGAATCTCCACCAGCTGCAGGATGAGAATGACCTTGAGAATGTGCTCTCCATCATCAGCACAGTCCCAGCTACAGCTGCACAGCAAAAGGAGCAAAGAGTAGTATTTGGCAGATACAAAAAGGGAAGAAGGGAAGACGTGATTTCTCACTGGGATAACGGCACAGTTTTGTGTCTTTGTGATTTCCATTTCTAAATCTCGAGTCCCTGCTCTAGCAGCAAGTTCTGTGTTGCTGATTTCCAAAGCCCCTGAGATGGTCTTTTGTGGTTTTGCTCCTAGACACACACATTGTTCTCACTGCTGGGCCTCAGCCATGCCTACGTAACCAGCATGGGGAAGCTGAGGGGAGTGCTGGCTTTGGAAGAGGTGAGTACACATCCTCTGCCATCCTCTTCAATAACTGCAAGTGTCCTGTGGATCACTACAGTAACTCACAGGTGCTGCAGGTTTCAGCTGGGAATATATATAACTGCAAGTGCTACATTTTCAGTTCAGTGTTGAATTCTGAGTCGGCTCTTTGGAAGCCACGAAAAGCAATGGATGACTGCACTACAGAGGAGGCAGCAGGTGTTGTTTACAGCGATGTTAACAGGTTCATCTTTTGCATGAGTGCAGGCTTAATAGCCACTCTTAACTGAGTGGATATTATTGTTTCTGAAAGAGGTGTGGAATTTGTTGTTTACCATGGAATTTTTCATTACATCACCAGTGTAAAAGATTATCTCCACAGGCCCCAGAGGTAGAGCTGTGACTCTGTTTGTGATCCCTTTAACCTGGGGAGTAGATGAACTTCTGCTGGGTAGGGCTGGGCCAGGGTGCCTTTCATGTTTTTTTTTCTGAAGTGTTTCTCTTTTTCTAGCTCCAGAAGGCAATAGAGGGTTCCACCCGCTCTGGGGTTCGTCTCCGACCACCCCTTGCCAGCTTCCGTGACATCAACCGGACTTCCACCAGCACCAAGGCAGGGCAGGGCGCTCAGGCATGGAGCCGGGAAGACAATGGCACGGTGGCAGCAGAGCAAGCAGCAAACCTGGGCACTGAGAGCCCTCTGCCCCCCTGCTCACACTCCCCCCAGCCCTCACACTCACAGGAAGAGGGGGAAGTCCCCAGCTCCACTTATGCCACGGATACTGAGCTGGAAGAGATGGAGCTGACAGGGCGAGTTGCTGAAAACATCTCAGACATCCTCAAGGACATAAACCTACGTACCACTGACCTGGATGAAGAGGAAGATGAGGATGAGGATGTTCCTTTATAGCTGGTGTGAGGGTAGCAGTCCATCACACTCTTCAGTGAGCCAGTCTTCTTGTGTTTGCTCCTCCAAGAGAAGCTTTTGGATGCTCTTTGCAATCCCCACAGAGGAATGATTCAGCTGGCAAGAGGGACATCAGACTGATCCTTTCTTCTGATGCTTTCCCTCTGTGCAAACTGTTGGGCTGCTGGACTATTAGGGCATGTGCAGGTGTCAGATGTGAACTGCAAGGAGCCTGAGTGCAAGCAGAGCACACTGTAACAGGACATGGATACTGCTGACACAGTCAGGACGCCCTGGCTCAATCTGCCATGTGGAAAGTGGAGGAGGATCAGCTCTCACTCGCCACTGATGCCATCCTTCCAGCCACACCAGGCCTGCAGGCAGCAGTGTACCACAGCCAGACCTCCAACCTAGAAGCATACTGCTGCTTCTGACTGCCACCCTGTCCATGTCGCTGCAGCTCCTTTTCACTGGCTCTTACCTTGCACCCCCCCAAACATTCCCATGTAGAACATTTTTATTCTTTCTCAATTTTTACTCTGGGATTTTCCTGGATGGGGATGCAGTTAGGAGCTTCTCCTCTGTCCCATAGCTGAGCCATGCCCTAAGAACAGATAGGAGGAAAGTATTTGGTGTCTCATGTCTTGAATTCAGCCAAGGCTTTAGAAAACACTGGAAGGGAAAAAAGCTTCTTTGTTTTCCCATCATCTCTGAAATTTTAAAACAGAATGGGAAAATCTTAAGTGAGGGCAGCCTCAGTGCTGGGGGAAGAGGAGTAAAACAGCATCTATGTACCTATATTTCAAATAACTTTTTGTCTCTCTGAATCACTGTTCACAATTTTCCACAGTTATAGTCTTAAAATATAAGAACTCCAGAAAAAAAATAATTATGGAGTATTAGCAGGCTGCCAAGAAATACAGCAGAGGGAAGACACATTTTCTACACTTTGAAAACACAGTTTCTTTCTGAAAACTCCTGCTCTCTTTTCCTGGTAATTCTACCCTGCCTCTTTTCCACATTCTTCTGCATACCTCAGATCTGAGAATTCCAGCTCTCACTTTTGCCAGCTTGTCTCTGTTGTGACTAACACAGAGACCTCAACCCTTGTCTGCAGCATCCCTCTCTATTCCAGTTCTGAATCTGGAGCAGATCTGCATCTTGCAAAAAGATGTCTTGTCAGTTTGTGTCATGCATGCAAAACCTTGACATCCAAAGGTAAGATGCTGCTTTGTTTAATTCACTGCTCTTGTGAGGTTTTCTCAGTAAACAGGCAAAACCAAATTCTGTGTATTCTGCAGCTTCTTCTAACAGTCTACATCTTTTTCTACCATATTTTTGGTGTCTCATACCATTTAGATGCAGTCCCAAGCAGCCTATTAGATGTGTTTCGACTTATCAACAACAGAGAAGAAATCCAGGCTCAGAAAATACGTTCTTGGGGGTTATCTCATTCCCCTTCCTGATATTAGTAAACCATTATCTATCTTAGAGTGATCAGTTCTACTTTAACATGTGATTTTCCATAAGCTGTCTCAGAAGCAAGTCAAAAATATCATTACTTCTAACCCAGTCTCCAAAGGAAAATTCCCTCCTGGCTTTAATTCCAAGGATTGACCTTGCACCAATTGCTCTCTGATGATGCTTATGGGTGGGAGAGTCTGTGACGAACTTACAGTAGAAGGAAATCTTCCCCGCGAGTCTCTTGCAGAGAGACAAATTTATTCCTGCTGTCTGGAATTCAGAGCCCCTCAGGTCTGTTGTGTTTCAGGCACAAGATCACCCTTGATAAGCTAACTGGGGACAGCCTTCCCTGCCTTAATGGTGGTCTGTCCTCTGGGAGCCACCCTGTCCTTGTGAGGAGACTGGTGATCTGAGGGCAAGTCCCTTGCACACAGCAGCTGCTTGGCTCCACCAGAGGGGCATGTTTGTGTCTGCCAGGCATCAGCATGGCCTCCCCTCTACCTTTGAGTCACCTTCCGCTGCCTGCAGGGAAGAGGCAAAACAACTGCCTTTTTTTTTTTTTTTCCTTTTTTTTTTCCTCAGGGAATTGTGAAGTCCCTTATATAAGCAGAGGAGAAAGAACATTCCTTTTACAAAAGTAAAAATATTCAGTGAGTGACAACACTGAGACCAAATCTGGTCTGAGGGTCCAAGCACACCCAAGAAGGATGAGTTTCTCCAAGTCATCCCCAATCTTATGGTGCAGACTTATATTTTACAGCTTAACCACAGGCTTCCACAGATGAGGCAAGGAGAAACTTTGAGGCTGGAGCCAGCACACCTCCCCCTCCTCTCCCCTGAACACAGATATATGCTCTGCTTCAGTCCCACACTTCTTCTACACTGTGCTACAGAAGAACTGGTATGTGACTGGCTGAGAAAGCAGATGGGAGTCTAAATCAAAGCCAGCGAGTGTGTGAGTCACGACAGACAGATTGTGAGCTGGGGGAGATGAAGCTGGAACAAAAAATGATGCACATGGAGAAAGGCTTGGGGAGTGAAACACTGGCTAACCTGGGAAGCTTCTTGAGGTTCATCACTTGAGATTGCAAGAGAACACACATGTGCCCACACATGCACACACAGGTACTCTCCATTCCTATTGCCTTTAGCAATCCCTGGGTTACTGTGAGGAGCAGGATTGTTCTCTGGGGGGGGAGCTGAAAGGTGACTGTAACTGCTGCTCTTTGCAGACACTACTCAAGACCCATTCCAGGTATTGCCTCCACCTATGGAACAGCAGCATCTATCTGCACCATTTGCTCACCTTTATTCATACATGAAAATGTGTAAAGAGCCAGGATGGGGGAAAAAACACTCTGCAAAAAGATGGTTTGCAAAGGCTGAAGTTGTTTCCATTTCCATCTTATCAATAAAATCTTCACTGAGTTGATGCCAAGTACATTAATAGGAGCAAAATGTGCAGTAAAATAATACTAAGCCTACCTTTGTCAAGGGAACTTTAAGTTTGTACCTTCTCAGGCTATCCCACTACACCCCCTCAAAGTTTAAACTTGAAACCTTTGTCCAACAAACAAAGTCACACTGATCTGTCACTCTAAAACCTGCATCTCCCATCCTATCCAAATAGCACAGATTTTATTCGCTACAGTGAATTTTATTTTTTTTTTCTCAACCCAAAATACCCCCAGAATCTGTACCAGATGTGAGGGCTTCCCATCCAGATAGAAATTCACATCTATCAAAAAACTGAACTCTTCCTTTCACATGGCACTTAAGGGTGAAAGCAGACTCTTGTTTTTAAATGCATCAATATAAAGAATTAAAAAAACAGGGAAGACTTACGGTTAGTAAGACGACATGTGGAACTTTAGGTAGGTATGACATGGCTAAGAGACTTGGCCATGAGCTGAATGAAGGAGCAAACACATGGGGATGAACTACTGAATAACAAGAAATATTTGCCTCAACAAAGTAACAATTTTGGTTGCCATTTGAGACTGAAGAAATTCTAGTTTTCTAAGCCTATGGACAAAAACAATTAGTACAGGCAGAAACAGAGAGACAGAACGAGTCCATAAAAACATCCCCCTTCTGCTCAGTTATGCAGATACTGTACAGAAGTGTGTATTTTTTGGCTAAAGAGTACAAGACAAGCAATAACCAGCTGAGCAAGAGAAGATCCCTCTTTGCCAAATTAGTTCAAACCCAGGAAGGGTACAATTAAAAACACACTACTAAAAATACAGTCACAGCAAGCACTAAGTTGCTCATGGCCACATAAACAGGTATCTGGACACAGCTCTCATAAAAATACAATCAACAATAGAGACCAATAATTAAAATTTACACATACAATATGTGCCTGAGCATTAGGGTTAGGGTCTTAAGATGTGATGCAAAACTGTTTAATGCTGTGTTTGTGGGAGACAAGCTTAAACTAGTCCTGACTGTGAGCCACAGGCTGTTCTTGTGTGTCCTCACAGCCACTGGAGAGACAACCCTGTGCATGTGTGTTCAGCCACACACACAAACATCACCTCTGTCAAATCACGGTTGTGCAGCAGCAGAAAACTCTTCAACTCAGTTTCCTGTGCCTTGAGCTACATCCCTCTTCCCTCAGCTTGCTGGATGTCACCAAGTCCCAGTGCAGCTTCATTGTAAGACCAACAAGACTGCTGTGGACACTGCTGATGGCTAAGTGAGGTAGAGCCTCAGTCAAACCTATTACTAGTTCAAGCATTGGACTTTCAAATCCCAGCCTTTTTAGTGTGCTGCTAGTGCAAACATCTAATGTGTAGTAAAACCAGCTACAGAAACATATCTAGCCGACCTGAAGAATTGCACCTGATATGGAAGACAACATCCAGCTGAGGAAAAGTCCAGTAGCAAATTCATAAATGAAACAGAATGCAGAGAAATGAAAATGTGAATTGCCTACTTTAGAGGAACAACAACCTAAGTACTGCTAGTGTCTGACCCTTTAATGAATGGCTACTCAGTTTGAAGAACAGAAGGGAAAGCTACAAGGTATACTGAGATATATTCAGAATTAAAGCCACATAAACTCAAGGCAGAAGCTTTTCAGTTTTTTTTTCCACAGAGAAACAAAGGCAAAAGACAGTAATGGAAGATTAATGAGAAATACATTTGAAATGTAAAAAAATCTACTTTTTCTTCCCCCTCAAAGTTCCATAGTGCACTTAAGCAAACAGGCTGTGAAAAGAAATGGGAGCTGAAATGGCTGGATTGTGACCAAACATGTAACGGAATCCTATGCTTAACTCAAACTGGCAATTTCTCTGGCACAGAAGACAAGATCTGTCTGAGGAACCATGCAGAAAGTACCCTTGCAGCTGGCAAAGTGCAGATCCAGCGAGGTGTACAGCAAGAACGCTCTTATGCCCTTTTTAGTTACCCTTCTCATTAATCACTTAGAAGTAACATATGAGGTATTGTAAACCAGCAACATGAGAGAAACATATGGCAGGTTTGCCATCTAGTCTAAACAAAGAAATAAGCAGAAAGTGGAGATGAGAACCTCAGGCAGATAGCATAGAATAAGGTTCATGCTGGGGCTAAGCAGCTAAATCCAGAGAAGAGGAACTGAACTGAGGGGTAAATCTAATCTAGTATGATGACAAAAAAGTTCTTTTAGGTGAAACACTCAGCAGCTGGATAGCATCTTTGCAGAATAATGTGAAATTAAAAAAAAATAAAATTTTCCTATGCAGAGGTATAACTTCCAGGGCCAGAGACATTTTGTTTTCCCAGAGACTCAAGTCTTAAACATATGTGGAATAAATTATTTCATTTGACACACTACATTTCAAAAAGAAAGTAGTTTAGAAGCCATTTGGGGGGAAAAAAAACAACAAAAACCACAACATCAACAATAAAAAACCAAAACAAACAAAAATCACACACAAAACCAGGAGAGAGTACAGGGGAAACTTACAAGAATTGACAAAAATAAAATTTACAACAATAAAATTAAAAAAAAACCCTCAAAAAACTACAAACAAAAACCTAAAGCAGTTAACTAAGTGTGTCTTATGCAAGTCACAATTAATTCTATGAACATAGTTATGCAGACATACATACCAAGTGGTGGGTGACACTCTATTTGGTAGCAAAAGCAAGTAAACTGGAAAGAAGCAAATTAAATTCAAATAGAACACAGAAAGCAAAAGTCAGTGCAATAGCCCTGGTTGTAAAATATGTTATGCCTTGAGCAGGGCAACAGACACTGCTTAGTTCCTGGAAGAAACAGAGTCTGAAAAGGACAAGTATCTTGACAAGGAAATAATACCTTTTATGGCTAGAATTTAAAAGTCTCATATGGCAAACAAACTATGGCAAAGCTACTGGATCTGCCTAATGTCCTGCATCAGAAGCAGATGACAAAACAATGTTGGAAGTGCAGAGATGTTTCCTTCCCTCTGGGTCAACCAATTCCCCAATTTACTATGAGGACAGCGGGCGAAGAAGCATTTAAAACTGAAATGTGAACCCAGAGTCGTGCTACACAGTTTCAGTGCCTTTTATAACCTAAGCATCAGACACCTTTCTGTGTCCTAATGGGCAGTTGTGAAATTTCTGTCTAATTCTTGAGTCAGATGTGTCTGCATCTCACCAGTATTGGGACAAAACTTGTATGTATCACCTGGAAAATGTTTATTCAGTAGAACAGGAAAACTCACTCTGTGCTAAATTAGAGGATCGTGTTGATGTGATGCTTTCTATCCTCAAATCTGGCCTAGGATTCATGTCCTGGTAGTCACAGACACACATCAGATTTTAGCCCTGTATAGTCAAACATGTGATGTTCTTTCTTAATGAGAAATCAGATACTTCCTACTCTGGGGTGCTTCTCCAAGCCACCATGGATCCTTTTCAATGTGCTCCATCAGGCTATGTCCTTGAAAACACTCCCTCTTCCTAGAATCCTCCTTCCTGAGATGCAAGTCCCCTGGAACCAGTCCCACAGAAATAAAACACTTCCACCAGCCAGGAGGGCAAGACCACATTCTGTTTAATAACAACTCCATAAAGGACTGTACATGCTATTTTGAGCTACCTCCCCTCCTTTACTGTGGTTGCTGCCACGTACAGGCATGGAGGTGTTTAGTGCCATATAGTTCTCTAAGTCTATGTCATGTGTGCACACTTATGCAGGTGGTTGCACATGGATCTATTTATATATAGCTTTGTAGAAGTGTTCATCTCATAAGTCACATTATCAAAACATGCGAAGTATATCCAACAAAAATTTTCAAGCAAACATGTTTTGGAGCTGGAAGACCAAAGGCAAATCAGACTCATTTTAGTTATTAAGGACTAGTGTGGGACAATGCAAGGATGAAGGCTTTCAGTAGTGGGTCCCTTTCCCTTTTTGTTTTACTTCCATTCAGCACCTTCTCCCCAAACATCAATGCACCCCTGTAAACACTAACTGAAAAGGATACAGACAATCACAATGCAGCCTCCCCGCTACAGAAAACACAGACAGGCTTGGGGGAAGCCCTTGAAAACTGCTTTGCAGCCACCTCTGCTGTAACATACACTTATGCTAAAGTAGTTTCAGATACTGAGAATACAATATTTGAAGACCCAAGCCTTTAGTTATTTTTACACGTTTCAGGAATCCATTCCGCGTGTCACCCCTGAGGTTCCCATCCACCACCCTCATACCTCCCAAATCCTCTGCCTGTACCCACCCACGTCTGAAAAGAGCTGAAACAAGAGGAATCTTGTTCCCTGTAAAATTACTATTTGAGTTCCAGTTTTATAGTGTAGGGATTCCCAGAGACCTCCAGTCATGCACAACATCTACAAATCAGAGAAGACAAATTAAAGCCAAACAAGAATATGTACCTGCAAAAGAGCTTTTGGCTTGCTACGTTGCTCAAGCATGCAGTATCTGAAAAGAAAGGAAGTCCACCTACACTTGCCTCATGGGAACATGGCAGAGCTCTGAAAGAGGGCTCTTAACCTTGTGGCCTCCAATCCAATCATGACTGGATTTCCATGCCCAATGAAATGAATCCAGAAGGCCAATGAATCTGGACTACATGCCTTTATCTTATTAGAAGCAAATCTCGATGCACAATATTGTTTCCATAATGGAGAAAAGCCTTTTTAGATGCTTTTGTCTTGCAAGCATGGACATTTGATCCCTTATGGGAAAGCAAAAACAAGACTAGGTTTCAGAGGGCATTTAAAATGTCCCCACCTGAAGGAGATAAGGAAGATCCTAGCAGGAGCATTCTTTCCACAGAACACTGCAACCCCTCTCTTCCCAGAAGACAGCAGCTACTACCCATCAGTAGGTAGGTCCTGCCCATGGCAGAGGGGTTGGTCTTGATGATCTTTAAGGTCCCTTCCAACCATTCTGTGATTCTGTGGTATCTGCACTGAAAACATTCTTGAACAAGTCTTTACAGTTTCATGCTTTCTCAGAATCACAGCCTAACTAAATTTTTCTTCTTCCAACAATATGTATCTGCACTGGAAAAATACAGCACATATTTCTTTTCTTTTGTGCAGACCAACACTGACAATCATAGAGCTTCTCTTCATTTCCAAGGAAAAAATAACACTTCTGTCTGCCTATGCTGGAGAAAAATGTCAGTGCAAGGATGTAAATAGACCCTGATGTTGCAAGCGCAGATCTTCCATGTCCATTTGTTAACACCATAACCCTCACGCCTTACCACAATCAATCCATGGAGCTGGTTGTGCTGCTGAGGGAGCACAATGCCCCCAGGCTCCATGACATATTCTGAGACAGAGAGAGACTCTGATCTGGCATAGAAGTGCAACTCTTCTGCTTCTGCACAGGTTCACTATTACTTAGCCTGGGAAAAGCCTATGGTACAAAAGAGGCACCTGACATTGACTTTACAGCTTGCAATCATATTCGAGACTGTGCTTTAATGACTGTAGGCTGTCCTACACATACATTTAGTTCTAATAGGCACCATTTTACTAACATTTTCCCTGTTTATTTTTCCTTTCCCTGAGCCATGGCATAGAAATCTTTCCCTGTCAGATTGCTACAGGGGAAGAAAATCAATGATGCAAGTATTACTTATTTACATTTTTCTAGCTGTAAGCTGCTGATTATCTCTGTATTGGAATTAATTTTTTTCTTAACTTTATTTTCTTCTTTTCTTTTAGAAAAAGTCAAACAGTTAGTTTAAAAGATATGTCAGAGTTGTCTGAACAAGGAATACTGGAAAATCCACCTGGGAGAAATCAGAAGGAAGAGCTTAGACTTTGCCAACGTTGCTCTGCTTTTTATAGCATTTAGAGGCAGGTTATCTGAGTTTGCTTCTCCTTCTAGGCAATTATCAATACAACAGTTAAGGCAAACTAAGCTGAATTTAGGTATTTTGGCTTTCCAGTGAGATCAGAACTCACACTAACTTCATTTGGGCAAGGAGTAAGTTCTTATTTTGTGTATTTCTCATATGATTTCCCTGAAGAACAAAGCACACTGTGAACTGTTTTTTGAAGACAATGAAGAAGAAGCCAGCAGGTACCCAAACTCAGGGAGGTCTCTTTCCTATCACTGTCTTGAAAAGAAAAAGTGTGGCTTGGACTGAGGAGTACCATAAGCTGCAACAATCCTGGACCTACAGCTTGCATAGCAATTCTGAACCTCAGTCCACTCTGCTGGGAGTCTGCCATGAAGCTTCTTACCTGTGCTGTGTAAACAAAAGACTTCAAGCTTTTCTGGACCTTTTTTCCAAGCCTTTCTCCCCATGTCTTTCCCTCTCTGCCACACACAGTGGTGCACAGGCCTGTGCTGCTGCACTCTGCCTTGCCTCACCACAACACCTCCTACTCTGTCAGAGAGATGACTTTCCTTCTCCAGTTCTTTCCTTCTCCAGTTCTCCAGGGCTACAACTAACATTTTTCTTTGTTGCTGTACACAGTACAGCATGCACAGGCTCTGCCTAGGAGTGAAGTACTCTTCCGTATCTCACATTACACTGGAACTGGCCTGAAAATAGGGGTAAATGTCCCTTCCAACAGCTATGCTTCACTCTTAAACAAGTCTCCCCTCTTGCAATTACAGGATAAGACTTGTCAGTATCTTTAGCTGCCATGGAGTTTAATCACTGAGTGCATACACAATTTGTGCATGTTAAATTTTATTAATTTCATGCATTCATCAAGTTACTCATGTCCTCTTGCCCATTTTCCAGGGTTTACCTCGAAGGGGCCTGTGGAAGGGAACAGTGAGGAAAACAATAGGGCATAAATAAGAAAGACCAAATCGAGTAAGAGCATACTAAAAATTCCAAGGAAAACACTAAAGAAGAAAATGGGGAATGATGTCCTTCCTGGTTCCCTAGTGGGTCTTATTCTTTTCAGGCAGATATATCACAATCAACTCAAGCCAATTTAAGTTGCATCTGCAACCAGTCTTCCACATGACCATCTACACATTTCAACGGCCCTCAGTGATGCCTGCCTCACCAAGAGAAGCAATATAAAGAGTTCATCCCACTGAAACCTTTATTCAGGTAGGGGACTGGGTTACTTTCCAATGGGGCCAGTTCCTGAGCAGCCAAATGAGTGTTTGTGCTGGTGCTTTTCAGGCAGTAGAAGTACAGAGCTGCTGGTGGTGGAAGAGAGGAGGCAGGACAGCTCCTTTGAGCAGCTTAGACTCATCCCAAAAATGCCATTTCAAAGTGCACTTTCCCAGTTTCTCTAACCTGATATAAAGGAAGGCCAGCTGCTGAGAACAGCACTCTCTCTCTCTCTGCTCACAGCTCTTCAGTCTTCACTTTTATAGCAGGGTAAAAGTCCCCGGCTTGGTGTGGGCCAGCTGTGAATCAGCACCTGCCCAAGGGTTGTGGGAGGTGAGCATGGTCAGAGGGGAATTCCTCTTCCTTCAAAGCAGCTCACCACTGGATCAGCTTAGAAGCATGGCTAAACTCTGTTCTCTGCAGCAAGCCTGTCCTGAAAGGTGATGTTACCAATTTTTAAGAGGGGAAAGCAAGTGGATGACTTGTCAGCAGCTTTCCAAAAGAAGATGATGATTTTGAGTCACAGAAACTGAAAGAAGCAGATTAACTTTACTGTCCCAGGTAAATGGGAGGTAATGGAATTGAGGAGAACCCAGAAGGCTTGTAAAGAAAGCTTCAGATTTATATAAAAGCTTATGAAATAGTATCACTAATCAGGTATGAGCAATCATGGGAGAAGGAACAAGAGATAATTTTCTTGCAGTAGAAGATTTTAAATTAGGGTCACTTCTGGTTAAGCCTTTCATGTTTAGCACAGTAATTTCAAGTTTAGCACAGTAATTTCAACAAGTTCCTACTGAAGACAAATGCTTGGCAGAAAGATGGGAATCTTCCACCTCAACTACTTCAAGAATACCCAAAATTTTCTGTAGTGCAGCTTTGCTTCATAATGGATTTGTGGAAACAAACAGCAGAGCTCAGTTTCTTAGTAACTGCAGATCAGGGATACTGAGCTCACCTTTCCTTATTTACAGCCTCACAAACACAATTTGGGCTCTGACTATTTGGCTGGACTCTCTCCAACTCATCCTTCCTCACCAGGATAAAGGGACTGCAGGCCAAATTTTGCTCACAGAGCACCTGTGCCTTCCATATGCTTGAATAGGTGTATCTATATAATAACAGCTTTTCTGGGAAACATACAGTAGGTTCCAGGTCTCTCTCTGATATTGGATATACACAGGCAGCAGGCCTGTTATGTAAGAAAAGGCCAGATTACACAAACAATTTTCCACTTTCAAAGAGATTCAAACTGCCTTTCCAGTTCAGCTCAGGCTGCTCTTTCAGGTGGCAAGTGTGGACAGGAAGACCTGCTCTCTCTAGTCAGACTCCTAGCAACTAGCTCTTTTGGATTGTGGAGAGGTATGGAAAATAGACTTTTTCTTTCTTTTAGGAAAAGGCTGAAATTTTATTATTCACAGAATGTTAAGCCATTTATGAAAAAAAAATTACAGAATTTAGTAAGCTGGAAGGTTTTTACAGAGAGTGGTGTTCAAACCAGTCTGTATTCACAGAGAATGAGGCTCTCTACAGGTTTCTAAGACAGCAGGTTATGGAACTATACAGCAGGGTATAATTCTTTATCCCAGTTCCGCAGAGGCTAGAAGAATCTACAGATTTTCTCTTCCTACTGGACTCTACAGAATTTTCTATATGGTCAATTTTTTTCACACTTTTGCTTATGTAGATAACTCCCTGTCACTGCTTTCCATGGAGATAAGGTATATCTTTTAGATATCAATCAGACATCTTAGTAAATGTACCACACGTCCATATTAAAGAAAAAGAAGTCCTGGACAAGTTGACCCACTTGTCCCAGTCTGTAAACAACACAAAAGGATCACTAGAAGCTACACTGAAAGTTACTGTAAACATCCAGATTGGTCCTGGAGAGGCACATGGGAACAAAATGGTTTGGAGAAAGAAACAACAAGCCACCCGAATCTCCCACAAAGGTACACACCTAACCTTTTTGTTTCCCTGAAGACCTTTTGAAAAAGAAATAAAAATAGCTTTAAACTTACTCATTTACTCATGTGCTGAAGCACTCTTGCTACTTGCCCCATTTCCCTTTTCTGACTAGTGTGATTTCCCAGGCCCTGCTTCACAGCTGGACCCAAGTCAGTTCTGGACAATGAGCTACCACTGGCCCTGCAAGAACTATAGGAGATCATTTTTATCAAGCCTTGCTGCTCAGGGGAGTTAGTACCTGAATGTGTAAACACCTTTGAAGAGATACTGAAAGCTCATCATTCAGGAGAAGAGCGACCTCCTTAGAAAGACGGAAGCAAGACCAAGCAAACACATAAAAAAAGATGGGTCACAAAAACTTTTCTCTCTTACCTACACCAAATTACCAGTGTAATTTAAACATCCCAGAGGTCTTTCATTTAGAGATGCAATGGAGAGGGAAGACAGATCTGCTTGAAGTGGACTGGGCTGGAAAGACCTTGGTATTGAAAAAGGAGTCCCTCTTTCTGCAGCTGCCTGTGTCAGTGGGAAAAAGCTGACTGGGGTGAAGTTCTTCCTCAGAGTCCCATTCCTACTTTTCACAATTCTCGGACATCATTTGCTTTGCTTGCTAGGAGCTGTCTAAACTCTGAGACTTGATGATATTCCTTCAGTCACATTTTGTTCGCCTTAGACATTCTTCCCTGAAAATATGCAGGAACTGAACCTGAAGCAGGAAAGAAGCATGTATCACTCTCCTGTCATCCAAAAAACACACCAAGCCTGAAGAGGAGGCAAAGAAGAGACAAATGTATCATGAATTAAACAGAGCAAATATGAGTCAGAGTAAGTGAGAAAGAGTTGCTCCTGAAACAGCATGGCAGTGTCCAGGCAATTCCTTTCTCTACCTCATCAGATCCAGCATCTGATCTACACCCATGCTCTGCTGATGCTTTCTTGCAAGAGGTTTTGCAATTAAAACTCAGCACTTAGGTAATCTCTGCTGGTTCTGTTCAGTCCTCCAGCAAAATCAATAACCTTATACAATTTTTGCTTTTGTCCCTGTTTATTTCCTGGCGAGAGCTGAAAGTGAAACAATTTCCTTTCAAAACTTCTCCCTCCCAAAAGGAGATCTGTAAAAAATTGGCGAGGAACTGCAAGAGATCAAATTCCCCCTAATCAGAAAATCATGTTTTTTTAAACAAAAAATATAGAACCCATACAAATAGGGGAAACACCTGAAATCAGCTTTCTCCGCACCTAAAAAAGAGATGGGAGGGAAAAACAAACAGACCAAGTACTGAGCATTATTTACATTGCTTGGGGGTAGGAAAACGAAAGAAGAAAACATAGGCAGGAAGAAGAAAAAGACAAACAGGAGGAGAAAATTTCCTCTCTTTTCATCCAGTTATATTTGGCACTGCAGGAGTGGCAGAAATGGGAAAGGTGCAGTATTACTGTTAAGTCATGACTGGAGTACAGGCCTTTCCCATTACTAACTGCTTTGTTATGAACACTTATTCAGCATATAAAAAGGTTTAAAAAAACCACAAAAACTGAAAACTCTAATGTAAACTAGGTATCTGTGATCTCATGGCTGTACACACTGTTCCTGGACCTGCTGCCTACTCTCTGGGTCTCCCCATTCTGCTGGCAAGGAAAAGACAGAAGGACACAGCAGCAGCACCAAGATGTGCATGTCCTCAAGCCCCCTGCAAGAGTCAGCATTTTATGACTGTCTCCATAGCTGAAAATGTCCTTTCCACTGGCTTCCAGTGTCCACTGCCAAAAGGACACACTACTCTTGCCAGCTCCTGGGAAGGCAGAAATGTCAAAGAGAAAAACAAATAAGTGAAAGAGACCAAAGCACAAATATCTGAGAGGAGGGTTAGATTTGTATCTGCACCCATTCTTCCATGCCACAGAGCCGTGCCCACAGAGCCACAATGGCAGCACAGCCCGGGCCCTGGGAGCGCAGCTGTATCCATTAAACCTACAGCTTTGCATCAAGGTGCTACTGAGGATCTGGTTACACAGCACATCTCTTTCATGGCCTGATCCTCTACATCAGCCACAATCCTAGCGCTAGTGCAATCTAGATCTGCAAACCACATCTTCATTTTAAGCCAGTTTATATTCATATATTCTATGAAATAGAAGGGGGCCACGTCCACAGAGCAACGTCCATTCTGCCAAGATGAATTCTAGCCACAAAGCTGCTCCCTACACCAAGCCTGTCTCATCAGCCACATCCCCAGTACCAGAAGAGTTTGTATGCACAGCCAACACTTTGTATTAAAAAGATTTAGAAATTATTTACCAATCCAGATCTCTCCAAGCACATCACATGTTGCCCAGAGCAATGAAAATCCAAAATATGTGTCCATGGGGGAGGGGAAGAAAAGTTTTTTATG